TTCAATGAAGTAGCAAAAGGCGCAAAATTTTCCGTTAAATAGTTTAACAGGCTTAAAAGGTCATTAAATACCATAAACGATGACGCTGTTCCGGATCGTTCCGCATGAAGWAGACGAACATGAGAACGCATGACACGGAAGTGCGTGTCGAGGTTTCTTTTGTCGGACGAGTCGTCGTCGTCTCGCATTCGGAGTTTTGACACAGAAAGGATTGCAAAAAAAATAGCTGCTACGACACAAACTTTGACAGAATTAAAAAGGTTGCAGATCGTGAAAAGTAGCTGTAATACTGGGGCTCAGTATTCATGTTTGTAATAGAAAAATACAGTTTTAAAGAGTTGCTTATTCTGTTTTACACGCCCAAGAAGGCACCGGCTACGCTCGTAGTAATGGAATGAAGAGATTAAGATAGAGTCATCACACTTGCACCGTGAAACAAAATCAAAGAAGTAGTAACTATTAGTTTTTATTTACTGACTATTTGTATGAAATAGTAGATATCACTGAACCAAAACAATTCTTAACAACAAAAGGTAATACACAAGAGACTTGGAAGCCAAACAACGTTATTAAAAGCTACCTAATGAAGAAGGAGGAATTTGTTAAAAAATGTCCCACCCACAAGGAAAGAAATCAAGAGCTAGTTTAGTTCTTTGTTAAACCCAGAGGAAAGATGTCGGGAAGGGCTAGAGCTTGTGTTAAATGTAGGCTTCGTGGAAATCGAGTTTATTGAAAGGACAAAAAGAGTTGATTATAGGGTGAAAGTGAAATAGATAGCTATAGTAACTAACTTTATAACTGTTACGAGTGCTGCTTGAAATAATGATTTGGTAACTAATGTCCCATGCTCAAAAGGTACGTATCTCACAAACATTTCCGAAATGATTAATAAAATTTATTGTGTTTTATTTTGAGCTTCAAGCAAAGGATAAATATAAAACGTCGCCGCTGGTTGTTGTCAAGTCGCTTTTTTATATTGACTAGTCAAATAACTCAGCTTTGAGCGATAGAATTCGTTCGAAACCACGTTGTTTATAGATTTTTGCGGGTCATTTCAGTGCGTCTTGTCTTGATATTTAGTTTAGGCTCTTATAATAAACTCGTTAGAAAACACGTTCATTTGCGTACTGGGTTTGATATTGTTACAGTATTTTCAATTTAGCCTTACAATGTCTTCTATCTTAATTTTGCTGCGGCGCAGAGAATAAAGATTCCAAACGCGTTTCATTTAGTCTTGTGTGGNTTTACGGTTCCAAATAGTTCCATAATCTTAAACACGCTGCAATGACTCGAAGTAGCAAAAGGCGCAAAATTTTCCGTTAAATAGTTTAACAGGCTTAAAAGGTCATTAAATACCATAAACGATGACGCTGTTCCGGATCGTTCCGCATGAAGAAGACGAACATGAGAACGCATGACACGGAAGTGCGTGTAGAGGTTTCTTTTGTCGGACGAGTCGTCGTCGTCTCGCGTTCGGAGTTTTGACACAGAAAGGATTGCAAAAAAAGATAGCTGCTACGACACAAACTTTGACAGAATTAAAAAGTTACAGATCGTGAAAAGTAGCTGTAATACTGGGGCTCAGTATTCATGTTTGTAATAGAAAAATACAGTTTTAAAGAGTTGCTTATTCTGTTTTACACGCCCAAGAAGGCACCGGTAAAACGCTCGTAGTAATGGAATGAAGAGATTAAGATATCATACACAATGATAAAACGTTAATATGTTGTACAAGATTAAAACAAAGTTTAAATGCTTTTGACCAAAGCTGATCATTGGTAAATAAAAAAAGATTCTGATCATGTACGCAGARCTACCAGAACAGAGAAGAACTGCTTAATCCGCCGGAGCTAACACGGTAAAAAGTATGAAATAAAACTAACTTTTTAGGACGTCTCCAAATTAGAGAWTATTACTCACAAGAATAAAGGAAATCCAAAGCAGAAAACACAATGAACTAACAGTTCAGAATATAGTTTCACGCCTTCCGACATTAATAGAGCGTATTTCGCATGACTGTGCAAAAACACACGGTACTTTCGCGCTGTGACCGTACCGTGCCGTAGCGGTGTTGTATTGTAAAATCTTTATTGTTATTTGGAATCCTAGAAGGCGAGGTTCCGTGACCGTGCCGTGTCAGTGTTGTGACCCGTGCCGTTGCACAGTCATACGAAATCTGCTCTGAAAGTAATCATCGAAGAACGTGGAAGTGCAACGTCGTGACGTCATACGGGGCAGGTCCTGGATTGATGTCACACCGGTCCGGTACTTCGCTTCTAAGAACTTCATAGCTTACCAACAAAATGTTGCAAACTATTTTTTTCCGCATTTCTTTTTCATTTCTCTTTTCTTTCCTTCTTTTCTGAAACAATAATATTACCAAAARTATTACAAATATTGACAAATGTTTGATATAAAGTGACGAAGCAATGTTCCGGCTCTGTTCTGGCTACCTATTTTGGTATTGTTGTTAAAAAGTTACACATCAGCTCAAAGTATTTTGTATTGTTATTGTGCGTTATAGTTTATCGGTTTATACAGCGTTTATCGCTAAGTACGTAGAAATGTGTTTTTATTCTATGTTTAAACTGAGGGCATGAATAATTACWGGAATATCTTAACATGAACTTGACTTTCAAAACGCGACAAAATTTGATTAAATTGAAAAAAAATGTCACGTAGCCTCTAGATTTATTTTTAGACGGTTTCAGCGTTCCCATCACGTAGAATTCCGCGTTTTTGTTTGAGCAGTGACGTAGCAGAAGAGTCAAAAATATTCATAATACCCGCTCAAAAGATACAAGATAGTTCTCCACAAGTTTCTTTATTCTAATGACTCTATTTCTTTGAATTTAGATACTGAGTTTTAGTTTGGATAATATTTTTTTGATTTTTCTTTGCTTATTACAAATTGATGACTTTTTTGAACTAGAGTACAAAAGTCTATGATCGATGTAAATATATACGGATTAAACAGTTTCAGCGGCAGTCTTGACTAATTATAACTTAGTCTATGTACATCATTTGAATGACAAAAAAAAAATACAGAATTACTTGTCAAAACGGAAGATAATTAAACCATTATTCCGAATGTCTTTTCATCATCTAAATTATGTGTTGGTATAAAATCAGTCATGTTGTGAGAAAGTGAACGATTTTGTCCTTTGTTTTAACGTAATTTTGAAAAATCTCTTTYTGTTGTGAAACTTCGTCAAGATGCACTTTTTAATAGTTTTTTTAGTTAGTGTTTCGGTTTTTTCTTCTTACAAGCTCCAAGCATTACATATTCATTTTAGACTTGTTTTTGAGTGTACCAAGAGCAAAGCTATCTTATTCAATTTTCTTCCAAAGTATTTTCCAAAGAGGATAACGTGAAATTCCGTCGAGAAACTTCGCCCTTCGGAGTTTTCACAGCATCCGGCATCTTGATGTTTTTYCAGTACCATGATGCACTTCGCCGAAACAAGTATGACGTCATCATTGAATGAAATATTGTGGAGGAGGGGGATTCCTCAAGTAATGACGTCAAAGAAGGCTGCATAATTGGTTAACTCTAGCCATGACAAATCTATTGATTCAGTAAAAAAGTAGGTTTTTTCTCCAAGCATTGTTATTGAATTGCGAAAGAGGGGGATTCCTCAAAACTTAAAWAGATTAAAATCCGTGCGTATCACATAATTGATGTGCCTAATGATGACGAATTAAGAAATTTGCAGATTTCTCCATATAATAAATATCCGCTTACAATGCTAAGTGTCCCAATTCTGTCCTTTAATTAATAAATGGTTTCATTTCGAAATATCACCTAACCTTATAACGATAAATATAGTTATATAAGCCAGTGGTTGGGAATTCTTCAAATGAATGTATTAATTAATACTAAATAGTGTTGAATATGCAAAAAGAAAACAAAGGAAATAACATAATTTAGGGCTACTTTGTTCGAGTTGTTTTATAGTTACACCTCAGCGCACTAAACTTTATTTCTCCACGTTTTTCTGTTCTCTTTTCTTTGTATTAATMATTATTACACTTTCAATATAACACTTGTTTCACGGGTTAATAAAAAAAAACACTCTAGCTATCTATTTCACAGGTTTAGAGTGCTTTTCAGTTACTACAGACAAGTCAAAACCGCGGTATTGTCCACTCACAAACAATTGTATCATTGTCTCTATTGTATATTCGATCATCTCTATTAAAAAAAACATCAAGGAACTCGARATCTAAAAACATTGACACAAGCGAATTTCCCTTGAAGGAATTTGAGCAAAAAACGTGCAAGTATTTAGTAAAAAAAAACTCATCATACTCTGGTTTATTTTCATTCAATTTCTCGATTTCTTTTCATTCATCAATCAGGGATTTTTCTGTGCTGAAGACATTCATGTAGAAAAATCTAGTCAGTTACATAATACGGAAATTACGTAATTTGAACATAATTAGTTAATTAAACAGCATAAGGGCCTTTTCCAAAGACATTTATTGAAAAACAACTTTTCTTTTTTCCACAGGTTCTTATCAAATATTTCTTCTTCTCGACGAAATCCAGAAATAACAATTACTTTATCAGAGAAGAGTTCTGTGTTCCTTCAGCTTCTACGACGCGCCTGTCAGTTCCTTTGAAAACGACGATTAAATCATCCCGGTCGGCGGAAATCTCGTATTTAAAAACAAATCACTACGAAATTGTCCTGGTTGCATAAAAGGGCGCGCGGCGATGAGTCCATCCAAGTTACTTCAGAGGGATAAACGAGACTAACTTGTCCGGCTAGCTGGAAAACAGTTCAATTCCAAAGTATTCGCAATTGCCAAAACTACATTCATGGCTAAACACTTGGTAAGTTTATCATGAAAACCTTAAAAAAACTTTTTTTCCTTTTTATTACATTAAAACGTAATTGCAGTTGTCAATTCATATCGACGAATTGATATTTTTTCATCAGTTATTTGATTGTTTAGTACAAATTGTCTTACGACWTGGAATGTAATTGACGGATTTATGCGGAGACCTCGCTATTGTTGTTAATTAAATCCAATAGAGTACGAATCATCCCTTCTTCTTTTCTATCACATATAATAATGTTTTTTTTCGTGGTAATTTTCTAGACTTGATTGAAAAAGTCTTCAATTTATCATAGAAAAACTAGTTTTCGTCTCTAACTGAGACCTTATCCATTAAAAAAAAATTCACATGTTTCTTTTGTATTTTCTAGATCATTGCARGCTGCATTCTACTTCTTCTTCTATTCCAAGTAAATCGTACATTATCAGCTTCAATATGCAACAATAARCACCCCTGTGTTGGTGGGACGACAATAAATAATTTAGGAAGAAAAGTATACCAATGTAGAGTGGTGGCAACCGCTTGCAAGAAAAACGGACTAAGRGGATTCTGTGAAGAAGTAAAAGATAGAAATGGTGCCGTCCTATGTTGCCAATGCAAAACCAGCTGACCCATAACAATTATTCCCTGGCCTCCTGTGGACTGAATTCCAGAACAWCGACGTGTTTTCTTACACAACGCAAGTTTATAACATTAGCTTAAAACGTGACTTATAGGTCAGTTAATTTTGAAAGTAAAGTTTATAGGTCACGCGACCAAAGTATCTAGGTCACGCAACTAACATAAGATCACGCGATTCACCCTGTGTGGCTCACATTGACTAAAATGAAAATTTTTGGATTGCGTGACATAAATTACAAAGTCCCGTGACTTAAAGTACAGATTGCGTGACTAAAATTAATAACGTGACTAGAAGTTGTGTGACTCGTTTTGAACTAATGGACCATATTATTTAAGAGAGAATGAAGTATTTATAGTACAATATTAATGCGCTCTAGCGTGAGAGCTGTGTTCAATGTATCTCTCATCTATAGGATCGCTCAGTATATATTTATAGAGTTTCATATTGTAAACCACAGGTAGCCCGTGAAGGCATTGACTTTTACAAATAAAGAAAATATTATTATATCACACCGTGTCTTTCTGGAGTGAAAATATTGGATTTTGTTCATTCTAAAGTGGTCAGCGGTTTGCTTGCTATGACGTCAACTTAGCTATGACGTCACTGTTACCCCACAACAGCTTCCAGCGCCACTGGGTTTCTTGAGAACTGATTACCATACGATTATATGATACCCAAATATTTGTAATTCGAGCGAAAATTTCCAAAATGTGCGCCTCGTTAGATTAGCCAGCGGTTAACTTGTCATATAAACCCCGTTTCGCTTCACAGTCTCCTTAACGGTTCCCTGCGCCRTCTTGAAAGGTAGMCGTGCCTTTACATCGAAGCGAGACGACCGTTYARCGTGCAATGATAGAAACCTTCTTTCACACCTACAGAYMATTATTCACAGGTATCTATCATTGCACGCACAACGGTTGTTTCGCTTCGATGTAAAGGCACGGCTACCTTTCAAGATGCCGCAGGGAACCGTGAAGGAGACTATTGACAAAACTTTTCCAAATTCACATGATCTAGTTCTTAAGGGGTTTAAACCGACTATGGTGTACAATAAATGAAATTTAGTTGAATTATAAGTGCCGAAGAGCTCCTTGACAGGTTCTCCTAGCRAAAGGCCGGTGGAACAATGTSTCCCGTCTTCGATCCGAGTTTAAAAGRTGCCAAGGTCCACCGCAGAAAGCCCACGATTCATGAACAGAAATTCAGCGACAGCTGTATCGTTTTTGACAATATAAAAAGAAAAAGAGATCAAACATGTCAAATAAACCACAAAAAGCCCATGTCTGCTCTAAGATGGCTTATCCGCACTCACCCCGACAAATTTGTCTTCCCTTCTTGACATCTCTTTCCCATGAAGCTTTGCGAGACACTAAAAAAGTCGCGCGAGAAGACTGGGGACAAGTTAACAATTTTYCATCATGCTTTGTACGGAGGAGCATTCACTATTTTATGATAACACTTCATGATAATTTTTCCATTAATATTTTTCATGGAAGCACTGATTATTTACAGTGGTAGAGAGATTACTCTTGTTACATCCAGACACCCTGTCTGRTGAAGGAAATTGGAGACCTGCTATGAACCCCGATGGGGCCATTTAGTCGCGTGAAGATTTCAAGTCAACAGGGTTCCACGTTGAGTCAAGAAGACCCAATCAAGAAAGAAGCATCTGTGTAGCTTAGAAAATACAGCTTTTTTTTCATAAAGTGCTMTTTCCTCCAAATGTCATGAGTTTGAAGATAAGCGTTGATAAAATGGGAATTATGGAGTAAATGTGGAAAGAATAGAATGAAAAGTGAATGGATAGATTTGTKAAAGAGTATGAATGGTCGAGGAAATCGCGTGAATTAGAAATGAAAAGCGAACGCCTGAGTAAAATGGCTACTAGAGRAGGAAAACAAATTCTTTTAAAATACAAATACTGCAAAAAATAAAACAATCATTTCAAAGGTGTCTTATTTTAAAAGAAAGAAACTAGATTTAAAAGTGCAAAGGAAAGCAGAATTCAACAAGTAAGGTCGACGGAATATGTCTTTGTTTACTCTACGGGCCATACAAGTCAGTAAATGTTACAAATACCTACTAAATTACTTTAGGTTTGTATATCAATTAATCAGACAAATTGTAATTCATAGCTTTTCAGTTACAATGCCACATAAAGGGATAGACTGTAATTTAAATGCCCCTTACGGCAGAAGAGTGCAATTTACCTCTGTATAGCAGTTTTTGGTCCATTCATTACAATTATAACATTGAAATGAATACTCAAATTTAAACACACGGCCTTGGGGTAGAACTGTAAAGTTCGCTCACTTCTTGAAAAAACCACAGGGGAGCTTTTACCTATTATTTTCAATTCTTTACAATGTAAAAACGTGACTTGAAATTGGAAGACTACAACTGTAATTTTTTTTTAAGTTTATCGAAAACATTTCCATAAAAAAGGCATATTTTCAGACAACATTGAGTGATAGGCATTACTAATGGCCRCGCGTAGCCAGAAGCGACAAGGACAAATTACAAGGTTTTTATATAAATAGGTAAATTTGATGTTAACAAAAGCAGTATTTAGCTTTAAGTAATTCTAAAATCGTCAACAATGATTGCTTTTGATTCAACAAAATATGTTTTTTTTGATGACTTCGGCTTTATAAACAAGACCAGAAAAGATGGTTTATTGAACTCATCAACAAAAATAATATATAATTAGCAAGTAAATACTGTTTTTTGAAAAGGAATAAAAATAAAGAAGCAATAAAAAACTTTAAACTAAAACAAATAAATAAATGTTTGAAGTCAAATATCGTACAAACATTCTATCGCTAAATGAAATGGTGCCGAGTGATTATGTAACTCAACAGCTAAAAATAGAACCAAAAGTTTTATCGCCGACCAATAAAGGTCGTAAAGATCTTATGAAAAGTAGAAGTAGAGTACGACTTTCCGAAATAAAAAGAAAAATTATACGAAAAATAGTTATARAAAAAGTAACGAACAATCACTATTTAAAATGCCTTGAGTTATGCAACAAAACAACTTAAAAAAATATGAATTTCATTATCCGTTTAAAATTGAAATAAAAACGGAAACAAAAAATACAGAATAAAGTGATTTTTCATCAGATTGTAAAATTATCTCTAATAGACATCGTTTGATAATTTATAAAAGACATTTTCCTAGAAAAGAAAGTCTTTTCCTGTGGTCTCGAGCGAGGCCGCTTTATCTATTAGACGAAAATCCGTAGTTGGAGAGAAAATGGCTGCGAAGTAACACAAACAAAAGATGGCTTCCCTCACTGCTAATCAAAACGATTGTAATTTCCTTGAAACAACAGCCATCGAACGGCTCATTTTATCTTACAGCCGATGTAATCAAAGTGTGATGACTTTGGCTTCATCCGTGTGATAGTAAAGATAATATAATACCTAATCAACGGTATAATTGGAGAACCAATCACAGCGGGACAGRACTCTCTCTTACTYCTATCCCTTCTCCATGTCACTCGTCTTTGAATTTAACATTAACAAGAAAAAAACACAACCTTTTATGTTCGAGTGTTTCATGGAGWGAGTTTTTGATTAGAGGTTGGAGAATTAAGGACAAAAGCACGTACCAAAAGTAGTTATTAGTGACGCAGGTGGTTTTGTCGACAAGAAACKTCTCGATATTTTAAAAACATTTCTTTGATATTTCTACTTGTTTGTAGCCTTTYAAAACCGCACAGAAAGCACCTACAAATGATGTTTTGATTGTTTTTAATAGAAAATTTTAAACAAAATGCGCAACAGTAGTATTTATTCGAGGCGGAAATTAGTTTCTCAGTGTGCTTTCGAGTCTTTCTGATAGCAACCCCCACAGAACTGAGAATTTCCACCAAATTCGTGCTCTTGAGAAAAATGTCATTAAAAAGAGCCGTCTTAAGAAGTGTTTTTTCTTTGATAAAAATCGCAGAAGGCTTCTCTTTCAGACGCTAAAACTGTTTTTGTTATTGAAAGCATTGAGGAACTTTGACACTATAAACTCAAAGAAACACAAGCTTATCAAACAACGGCTTATTATTGCATGCAATGGAGAACTGAAGACAYACWAAAACAAACATGGCGGCCGTCTCAAACTTGAGTTTATCGGSAAAGCCATTAGTGAATTGTTTCACAGTGTTGTTTGACTTGTCGCTAAAAACACAAAGCAATCTTTCATTAGATGTTTCCATTATTAAAGAGAGGTCGTTTTCCTTGTAATTAATAGAGACAAGCGTACACAAAAGAGTGTTGAAATGAGGAACTATTTAAAACATTACAACTCCATTTTGTCATTTTCTATCGATTTTTTAAATTCATGATTTGAATACATAATGTGGGCTTTTGAAAAATGAAAAGAAGATACGCAAACGTTTTGTGGCAAATCGAAGGAGTGTTTTTAAAAAAGAAAAAAAACAACATAAATTGTTGTTGTTACGACAGTTCTGTCATATTATTTTGCGCTTAAATAATTGATTGAATGTTACTGGCAACACTAAACAGAAAAGAGCATACAATTAAGAATAAAACACTGTTATTTACATCAAACAAAGGGAATAAAAACTAAAAGGGCCATTTTATCTGAGCTATCACAAGAACTTTATCAAATACTAAACTCAAGCACTTAATATTTTTTGYACGTAATTTAAAACAAATCACGAAGTTGCCATTTTTACGGTGACATTGAGCTTGAACAGTTACTTTACTTTGAGTCAAGATGGGCCGGAAAACTCGAATAAAGACGGTATTTTCACAAGGAAACCAGTCCTTTTCAAAGAGATATCCTACCAGACTGGCAACGCTAATATTCAACTAAAAAAACAGCTTTAATTCAGTTCCTCAAAATGGTATCTTCCGCGAGTGATCGAGTCGCGCACCCTTGTCAATCCAATCAACGCTGCAGTAATCTATATGCCCCAGTGGCAATGATCGGTTCGAGTCACTTATGTGAAAGTAATTAGAACACACAGATAACAAGCTTTATCGCCAACCAATCGTCCACGGTCCCGTGGTGAAATCAAATTCTCTGCTCACATACACTCCAATGCAATCTTTGGYCGTAATCACAAAAGTTCTACTATAAACACGAGTGATTATTGGACCCTCTGCTTGGGTGGCGCATAAGCCACTCCCAGTCCGTACTCCAAGTTATAACACGGCACTTTGAGGTTTTATACTAAGTTTAAACATGTCGTGGTTGGGYTCTGATGTGGCTTTCACGTATCCTTGGAATTCGTACGTACCWGCGGTTGAAGAAAGCTACCATCAATACAACGTGCCRTATCATCCAGTSTATTCATATCCATGCTGTAGTTTGTATCCTAACTGYAATGGCGGACGGTATTATTACAAGTCATACTATTTAACACCACAGAAGCCACCATTTTCATACGTTGCTTTGATTTCCATGGCTATTAAGCAAGCACCGTCCAGGAAGATCACGCTACACGGTATTTATCAGTTCATCACATCCAATTTCCCTTACTATACATGGCAAAACCGACGAGGATGGCAGAATAGCATTAGACACAACTTGTCTTTGAATCGCTGTTTTGTGAAGGTCCATAGAGACAGAGCCGATCCTGGAAAGGGCTGCTACTGGACGCTTGATCCATCGTATGAAGGGATGTTTGAGGACGGGAAATACTGGAGGCGAAGACGTCTTAAAAAGGTTACCAAAGAGGAAGATAGCAATCTGGAGAGTGCATCTTCTGGCAACAATTCCAAGCAAGTTGCTCAAAGTACAAGTCTCGAAGCGAAAGAAGATTTGAGTGAGACTTCAAACGAGAAAACCAAAGAAGAAATAAGCGAAAGGCATTCCCCTTTGATAAACAACACTATAAAAACTGAAAAGGAAGAATTTGAAAGCCAAACGTTTGCTGTAAGACAAGAAACTGGCGACCTTGAACAGGAACATTACATGACGTTGMGCGGCGAAGATCGCCAGGGCACAAGCACAAGAGACGACGAAGAAACTGTTAAAAATAAGTTAATGAGTAGCTTTAGTATCGACTTTTTGCTYAAAAAAGATTAGAACTAGAAACATTTGTTGATGAACTGTTGATGCAAAGTTTATTTACGTGACGATTAWTGTGGAAATACTTGATTGAAAACATCGACCCATGTCAGATACCTATCACTCAATGCGTTGGTATGATTTCTTCGATGCTGCATGTCCTGTSCAAAACTAGCATTTTGAAGTCATAAGKCAATGGAAAACATCTACTACCTTTTAAACTTAATTTCTATTGRYATAAATTGTTGTTAACACGAACTAGTCCTAGCAAAAGTTTTCTTTAGTCAAAAGTACCACCGCAATTTCTCATTGGCATTTCCAGGCGAAAAGYAAAACTACCTAAGCCATAGGAAAACTTAAGATATTAGAGCTTTATTAGTTAATAGATATTAGACATTTTAAACTGAAGATTAATTTGCACAGAGTCATACAAAGATAAACTTAAAAGGAAGCAATGCTTATACTACACTAAGAACTTGAGTTTTCAATTCGTATTTTTTTCAAAATTCGTCTCACACATGACATGATTACAATGCTACAAAGTCTGTATATTATAAAGCCATTTTATTGTACAAAAACAGTTTTTAAATTGTWCAAAAACAACCTCGTCTTTCATAAAAGAGSCAAAAACAATGGAATTAACAAAACAACTTTCCTTATTCTTCCGCATTTGAATCTTGAAAGTTTATCGGAAATTTAGTAAATTAAATGAAAATCACTAACCTACAATGTAGAATTTTTCTTGCTGAAAGGCATGAGATATATTCTAGRAGAAAGGACCGATGTTCAAGTAAGATTTCAAGGTTTTAAATCTCGAAGAACAAAAGTTTTAGAATTCATGAAATTTTGAACTGCTAGTTCCATAAGCAAACCTGTATAGCTTTCAATATAAAGACTTCTCGTTTAGATTTCAATTTTATAAAAAAGTAGCGATTTTTTTCAWATCTATTCCGCATCACGCTAGACTTTGGTTAGTATAAACTCAATCACTCTTGAAACTGTAATATAACTCACCTAGTTAAAGAAATAAAAAAATGTACATTGTCTCCATTATCAATGACCATTTTTAAAATAGACTACCTTTGATTGCTTAAATACCTAGAAGTATGCCTAGAAGTTTAATTCTCTAGACTTACTGAAAAGTAAATCAAAATAATATCGCTTAAAATGCTCGTTTCACTTTGATATATTTGGATTAAGAGGTGTTAAAGTTTTATTCACTTTATAAATCGTTTTTAATATGAGAATCTATGCTATTTGGAGTTTGAGATCCAGTTTCAGCTGGTAAGTGAAGAAATAATTACCAGTCTATAAGGTAAATTACTCAGTTAATGGACTATATATACACCCACACTCGTCAAAAACCTTTATACACGCCACAGCTAAGGTTTACGTTTGAAAAGAAAGTGCTATTTTGGTCTTCCAGAAAGTTTTCACACTAAAATAACTACCAAACATTGCGCTTTTTTCTGTCTTTCGACCATGACTAAATTGTTGCATCTTAGCAACTGACTGTAGTCGCATTTACGAGCAATTACCCAAATGTTTTTCTAAATACAAAATTAAAAGGTATATTATCCAGCCTTGGGGAATACAGACTTTTTAAACATTAAAATGTTCGTTTACTTGGGGGAATTTAAAATGCGTTGAGGTTGACAGATTTATATTCGATTAGTTTATAAACCATTTCATTGTCAAAATTTTCAGTCTAGCATTTTAATACCTCGCTGAAGACAACTAACAGTTTCAAATCTAGTTTTATAGACACACTAATAAAACAGAAGATCTARAAACACTGTCAATTCGACATTAAAGTTTGTACTTCAAATCGCCTTTAACGTTTCAATTAGAGTCGGATCCTAATGATTCAAAAACAAGCAGTGAAAGGCGGTGAAAAACTTTTACTAGGCACAACAGAAACAAACGGGTCTTGTCCACATTGTTTTAATTCGGAGCGACTTTACGCTATTTTTTAATTCCTTCGACGAGGAATACAAAATCGCTAAGAAAAGACATATAATGGAATATATAATGGATGGAAACTTAGTGATTTTGGCAGAAACACACACTTAAATAGTATTTAATAGTTTGAATCTCTYCATGTTTATTTTCTGTTGTTTATGTGAAATATAAGTAAGATTATACTTAATAAACGGATACATATATATTTGGTTTCACGGTTTTGTTAGAAACACTTATAAAACGCTTGGACAACGGAACGCGAAAAAACACTGTAATTTTGCAGTAAATTGAAAAAAATAGTGAAAAAATATCTAAATTACTGATAAAATGAAAGGCAAGCTGAATTTTGTAACCACATATCAAAGTAAAACGATGTCTTTTTCTTAGTTTTTCTTTTATCAAACTGAAACATTATAATAGCCATTTAACAAATGATAATTCCTTATCCGAAAACAAATGCATTTTATGAGGCCTAATAATAATTCATGCTTGCATATTTTCTTGAAAACAATTTATTTGACCAAAYTGAAGGGACCTGTCGGGGTTGCAGTTGCGTGCTTACTTTTTAAAATCATGTTGATTAATTCGTTCAAAAGCCTCACGGGGTATCCGTTTGGATAGTAAAAGATCGGTTGTAGATTAAGGGGGCTGTAGGGGGTTCATTGTAGGGTGTCATTTTTATCAGTTGCAGCCGCCTTAACAGTTGAASACAAAAGAACGATAAAGTACCATCAACTAATTTCCACGCGAAGCGATTAAAACTTGAAAAGTAAGTTTGATAATAGTCTAAAACGATGATAATTCGTGACTTCTGCTTATAACTATTATCATAATTGATTTTTGAGATTGACTTTTCCCCGGTTTTCGGTGAGTAATCTGTGATAATAACTCACAGAAAGTCTTCAGAAGTTTCACTTTTTTCATGTTAAAGAAGTCAACTGATTATTTTATTGTAGAAAGTTTTTAACTGCGATAAATGCTAAATTTGGAAGTCTATATTCGGTCATRTCACGAACATATCATATCCACTGTCTTTCCGAGGGTGTAGGGRCAGTCTCCCCCACTCCCACAAGAAAAATAAAAGCGCACTGTCAAATGTCAAGAGTAGGAGTAAAATAGTTGTTACCCTTCGAACGCAAGCAAAAAGTYGAGAGCAAAATTTCAGGCGCACACGGTTGCTTTGATATGCGTTCGCTTAGAGCTTCCAGACAAGTCATTTGATTCGCTATTGTATATTTTATGACCAAGGTAAACTATTTACCAAAATAAGATCACACCCCTAGGGGGGGGTGGGCACAGGATCTGATAAAAATTCCCGTGGAGGGTATAGAGAGGTTAATTACCTCGTTACTAACATGTGTTTATCATATGGCAAGCCAATTTCGCGGAGTCCAAACGTTATTAGAACAAAAACAACACATAACTGATAAAACTCTCTCGCTTTATCATCAAGATAAGCCAAACGTTTGCCGCTTATTTACTTTAAAGTTTAAAAAACAACGGGAGCATTTCTCGGCATGAAGCGCCGATGACCTTGAGATTAGAATCTTAAATGAAAGTCACTGTTATATTAAAGTTTTTTGATTACATCATCGACCCCTCACACAAGAATTTCTACAAGTCCAAATAATATGGCTCGCTTTTAAGAGTTTTATGTTGAATTTCAAAACCAAATTACACAATTTAGTAGTTATCAGAGAAAAAGTTCTTTATATTCATCATTTAAAAAAGTTTTTGCCAATTTTTTTTTTAAAAGGACAATCCATTTTTTGGTCTCTTTCCCAAAGTTTTTTCTTGTTTTTATTTGCCAACAGAAGCCGTGTTCCGAAGTTTCAGTGAAAACAGTTTTTATCTCTCTTCCGCCATATTCTTTCGAATATTATGGCGGATATTCTCGTGTGTTTGATGTTTTGTGTTTTTTTTTTACAATGCACGTGTCGCAAGCCAGGGTAGATTTTGTTTTGAACTCCCTGCCTTAAAACTTCTAGACTTATATCGAATACAAATCAAATATCTAAATACTGATCGAATAGTGATTTGTGGGGAAAATAATTCAGGCAATCACACAATACCAAATAACAATCAACAAAGTAAAACATAAAGAAATAAACAAATGATCTGACAACAAACAAACGAATAAACAACAAACACAACAAGAAAAAAAACGTACAATGAAATCGTCAGGACAAATGTAAAAGGTACCGGAAAAAAATAACACATAACACCATACGATGCACATGAACACAGACTATATAAAACAATAATGACTTAAAGGGCCATCACCAACCGTCATACAAAGCGGTCGTGGCTTCAGCTTCCCACATGCTACATAATCTGCCATTTTGACGTGACAAATATCACCGGTTCACAAGCCGTTTCCATCCGTCATTTTAAGATCGAACCTTACAATTACTCTAATAATTGCATATAGGAATAACAAAGAGCACATTTTTGCTTCTATTAAAATGTATTTTCAGTTTCAAAGCAACAACAAAGCTCGAAATGGATGCTGGTTGATGATGACCCTTTCAGCATGCAGTACACATTGCCTATCTACTGGTCAGGTAGTTTCCATATTTTGACGGTGCAGTCATCCGAACAAGATGCCAACATCTGCTGTTCCTTAGGATGCCAACGTATGCAGTTCACGTCTTGATCGTGTGCCTTGATAACAAACAATACTTTGATGGAAAATGCTGAGTTTTATGGGGAGATAAGATCACGTGATTATTTCTAGTAATGACGTCATGTTTGTTTCGGCAAGGTGCATCATGGTATTCATAAAATTATCAAGATGGCGGACGTTTTCTTTTTGTCAAGAATGCTGTTGAAGAGCGTGGTTGAACAAGATATGAGTACTATATAGAAAGTATATCCAAAGACCGTAATCGCAAATCATTCTGAAATGCTGACTTCAAGAGCTGATTTCCGAGATCCGCGTGCACTTTGCATAAAAACGACGTAATTCGGACCAAAATTTATGCGAGCTTTGGTAACACATTTGCTATTTGTCAGACTAGTCTTTGAGGATCTTTAAGTACAATACGTATGCGCGGCCATTTTATACAATGTTTTGTAAATTTTACAAGGCTTCCGCCATCTTGTTATCAGTACCATGATGCCCTTCGCGAAAAATCATGACGTCATTAGCGGAGAGAACCAAGGATCACTTTAACTATGTTCAATATAGATATACGAGTTCGGTCTTTGTGCGTTATCATAGCCAAGGAAGGCATCCCTTCGCATTCGTTTTCGTTTTTGGGCTTCCTGTCTCTTAACGAAAACGGATGCGAAAGAGCCTAGGAGTTTACCGCGCGCATGAGGTGAAAAAAATGAACAAAGCAATTAGTGTTTACCTTTTGTTTTGTAGCTATTACATTGAATGACRGTTGATTTGGGTCGGACTTTTCCATATCCTTAAATAACAAGGAAAATTACTAGTACAGCAAAGATTGATATAAAAAACACGATGTTTAGTGAAGAGTCAAAAAACTACATGAAGAATATTYTAMTTATGTTGTCTGACCTCTTGGAAAATGCGTATGCAATCATCGCCTGCAGCTGTGGCGATCATCTCATTCACTTTGGACCTGATATTAATGAATAAATATATTTAATGATTAATTGATGATTAATTAATGATAAATCAGCAATTAATTGATTAATGATAACTTAATGATTAGTGATGAATGATTATTCTATTTTTCTACATACCAATCAACATCATATATAGTTCGATTATGGTATCCTGACAGCACACAGACGCATTTCATTTTGGGGTCGCTACCAGTTGTAACAACACCTTCAAGAAAGGAAAAAGCATTCATTTTACAAATCATCTCAACATCACCCAGGGTTCGTGCTACATTTTCACTACAAAATTTCAGGACTTTTCAAGTACTTTTTAAGAACAAAAATGTGATATTCAATGACTATTTTTGAAGATATTTTTGAACATTTCCAGTAAAGCTTTTAAAAAACACACATTTCAACCCAAAAGCAAAAAAGCAATGTGTAAATTTCATCAGATTCAAGGAGTTTTCTAGGAGTTTTAGTCATTTTTCCCATTTTCAAGGCTTTTCAAGTGCCTTGAAGTTAGTTTTCAGTTCCAGGACTTTTCAAGGATTTCAAGGATTAGCACAAACCCTGATTTGTTCCCTTAAATGGTTTATATTGTCAAATTTAAAGACAAAGGGGATTTTTGGTACTCGAAAATAATCATTTTTGCCATATTTACACTAACCTTCCTGATTACCAGGGGGATATGACTGCCATATCCGCAATGTTTTATCATCGCTACAGGATACTAATTCAAATAAAAATATCAATATTGCCTTATACAATGTAGAATAAAGCTTTAAGCTTTAAGCGATTGATTTATTAATCAAAACATACCAAGTCTGTCTCCTTTAGTATTAAAACTTATGGACCAAACAGTTGATTCGTGTCCTTCTAAAGTATCAAAACATGCCCTAGACAATAATCACATAATATTATAACCAAAAATACTGCCAAATCGAGACAAAGTTAATTGCATCATTTAGCCTTAAAACCATTGTTCATACAATGATTAAACATAAATAATATTGACTAGTCCCATATCCTGCTCTTCTTTTTTGCCAATATAATTAAACAATCTTAGTTTTGTTACCCAACTTTATCCAATTTAATTTCTATTTCATGCAAAATATGCTGCCATGAATCAACATACCAGTCATCGTCGTCGTCTTTATACAGTTTTATAGTGTCGTCATAGCTACACGATGCTAGTATCTATGAAAATAAAACACCATATAATTGCTATAATTTGTTTAGAGATGTATTCTAGCAAGAGAAATTTTTGGCAAAAGATTACGCATAGTGTACCTCCTCTGTTGGATGCCACACAATTCGTTTGACATCTTGCGTGTGAGTATGTAGAACGCTTGCACATTCATATTCATCATCTTCTAGAACTGTCAATATACAATATTTTCAGGTCAGTTATACAAATTACAAAATACCCAATAGCTTTCTTAACGTTCCCTTTGCCATACTGAAATGTAACTGTGCCTTTAAAACCCCAAGCAACCTACCATCCCATATCCATACACTCTTGTCTCTACCACACGTAGCAAGTAATGAGCCAGATTTTGACCAGTCAATACTCTTAATCTCATTTTCATGACCCTCGAGTGTCGCATTGCATTCAAATTCTGAAATGGAGAAGACTGAACTTATTTCTATCACATTTTACCATTTTGACTGACAGCCTCATKTACATGAAATACTGGCAATACAAGTAAAGGATGAATGAAAAACGATTAAGTACCTCCACTTTTTCTGTCCCATATACATGTGGTTGCATCAAAGCTAGCAGAGGCCAGATATGTACCACAGGGAGACCAAACAACTAAAACGTTAGACTTATTACGATTAATAAATGTGAATTTACTACTGTGTTTATCAAAGACAAGTATTAAACAAGCAGCAGTTGTTTCATGTCAAAGACGATGCATGTATGTCAATGCACACAAAAGGAAAGTGTGTAAGGGAAATATCATGCAAGTCACTTTGAGCAGCATTTGTGTGAGCACCAACTTTTGCTGTTCACTGTGAGCAAAAATGCTAATCAAAGGCCCTTGCATGGCATTTCCCTTACATGTATGCACTTTTCTATCATGAGCAGCTGGCCTTATTACCGTACAAGAAGCAACTTACTTGATCTAATGGTTCTCTGATGTCCATCTTCTAATATTGTTTTGCAAACCCATTTACTTCCTTCCTTTCCCCAAATACGGATGTAAATAATTGGTCAAGGAATTTGAATTTTGGGAGAAAAGCTGTGGAGGAATACAGCTTTAAAAATACATCACAAAATGTTATTGAAATATCCTTAAGAAAATGTAAAAAATTAAGCTCAACTACTATCCTGCTTGAAGCCCTCAAAATGTAAGAAATTGTATTTTAGAGGTTCAAAATTTCTGGTCTGCACAACTTGTACCAGTATTGATAAACACCTCCCCTCTCCTCCCCCCTTCACATTTAGAGGTAAATGTCAATGTCCTTGTATTGTTCAACAAGTGACAGGCATTCATTAAGCTGTCCAAAGTAGTCAAAATATATGACAAGGATATTGTTTTGTCTCCACTACAGCTTGCTAATGCAGTACCCTCTGGGTTCCAAGCAATGGACCATACTCTGTCTTCATGCCCTGTAGAGTATCAAATAAACAGCTAGTTCAATGCAGGTTGTTCAAGACAGGGTTTGTGCTACTAATTTTCGTCACAAATTTCCAGGACTTTTTAGTACTTTTTTAAGCAAACAGAATTGATTTTCAAAGACTATTTTAAGATCTCGTTTGATGTTTATGAGCGTTACTATCTCTTTGAATAATGACTTATTATAAGGAGAACGTTTAAAATTAAAATCTAGTCGACTGCAACAGATTCAAGGAGTATCCGGAAGTTTTGTTGGTTTATTTCCAGAGTGCTTTCTAAGTGCGACGACGAGTTATCAATTCTATGGCATTTCAAGTAGTTCAAGGATTAGCACAAAYCCTACCCTAATTTCATATTTTGCTCAATAAAAAACTTAGCTAGACAGGGAAAACACAGCACAAAAACACAGCCCGGTTGGTTAGCGCGATTGCAAAACCCAAAATTTCCCTAAAAAAATTACACTTCCAAAATAATTCAAACACATACCTTCTAAAGTCGCTACAAGTTCAATTTCGTCGGGCATTGGGTATTATTACGGTTGAATTTAAGTAAAATATTGTTAAAAATGCAGCGTCAATCTGTATCACATGGCACTTCGAGGAAGGTTTCTGTCAGGCGTTCCTCGTTGCGCGATTCGACGCAAAGACTTTTGGGATATGTTTATTTCTGCTAAAGTTGGGATTCCTTTGTTAGGATATACGATGCAGCCATCAGCCCCCTCCTCCCTCCCCTTGAGCTGTGAGAGGAAACTAAAAGGCTTGTTGTATTGCTTTTATTTATTCTCATCAAAGAAAATATTTACACTTTGCACAAAAATAATTCATAATATATTCATTTTTCGTCTTTGAAAAATGATTGGTCACCAAATTTATTGGATGCATGTAATTTGCCACTTTTGTCACTCTGTTTGGTTTGTCTTGCTGGATGGCCATCAACTGGAGAAACATTAAAGTATCATGTTAGGCTGGTTATCTGCCTCTTTTGGGAGTGATGGACTTCTACCCCCCTCCCCTCCCCACCCCCCTTCCTCCTGCTGCCTCTCATGACCTAAAACCCCACAAAATACACTCGTAGAATGAAGTACATTAAAAAGATTTGAAAGAGAATGAATAAAATAATTACTTGCCTGATATATTTTTGCTATGCACATTTACAAGTTGTTTTGTTCTACAAGACCGGGTAAACCACACAGATACAACCCAACCACAGCATGCCGCACTACCTTTGATGCAATCAAGTCACATATTACATATCTAATGTGCAAAATATGGAGGATATTACATGGGCGCACGGAGATACGGATTTTATCTTCGAGTGTTGAAAAGATCTCTTACGAGTGAGCGTTCTGTTTATCATATAATTACATATGAAAGCAAATTATGTCGTAAAATATATTTTTTCCAAATTTTACTATATAGAGAAACCTCGAATGAGTTATTTTCACTAGTGAAAATATCAATTTTACAAAAATGGAGAAATATAGGTATTTCATAGATAATTATATGATAAATGTGATATCTCCAGCCTAGTACCCAGGCATTCTTTCTTGTGAGTGTGAAATATGATCGGCCTCTGGGGTGAGTGAAGGCTAAGATATCTTGTAATAAATGGAGCTTTTAAAACGCCAACAACACTTAGCATATTTCAAACTAAAACATAGCCAAAATATAACTATGTTTGCTGATTCAAAAGGAAATATATATTATTTTGATGAGAATTGCAATTTGTTAGGGTGTATAGCTTCTCTATTTTACCAATGATGTGTGCTTAAAACTTGATGATTCAGATAATAATTTTTGAAGCTGACTTTCTTTATTTTCAGACTTTTTTCAGTAAAAATGCCATGATCCATGTGGGTAACTTATGCTTTAAAATTTCTGTTACCTAATGACAGCATAGGAATGTACATTTTTGGAACTGTTGACCTTGGTGCAAATGTTAGACCACCAAATGACACTGCACCGACTGAGAAAAATAAAAAATAACATAGATAATAATCAGTTTACCAACAACACAAACAAAGAAAATGCAAGTTAAGTTAGATGCTTGCATGTTATATTACCAAGCACTGTGGAACACAGACCATACCATCCTGCCATTCGTTGACAACTTCTCATTTCTTTCATCTCCTTTATAATGAAAATTAAAAGGAATGAAAATCGGATGGGATAAAATCAAGATTCCCTGATACAACTGAAATAATAAAATCATTTGTCAATAAAAGCAAACTTTAGAAATAGCAGCCTTTCGTAAAAGCAAAATTTATAATTTACGTATTTCATAGAGACAAATTCTGCAGCAAGAACGATGAAACTTTCCCAAAGATAAAGCCTGCCAAAGATCAAAGAATTAGTACATCTATCTACCTTCTCTTGCTCTTTCGTAGGAAGTCCTGTTACAGGTTCTGCCATGTCTGAACTAACACTTCAAACAACACTACAGAAAATAGATTATAAGGCTAATAAGAAAGTAAAGGAATTAGATAACGCGCCGAGCACACAATGTGATGTTTTTCAGCCATATTGTTATGCAATCGTTACCAGTGACTGCGCAGAAGTTTTCAACCCAAAGGATCTGGAAAGTAATAATAATAGAGGGTAGGGAGGGGAGAGAGGGGGATGATGGAAGCGGAAGAAGAGAGAAGAATAATAAAATCCTTGTAATAACATTTTAATTAACTGAGTTTAGTTATTTTCGGAAGCCGTTCCTTAAATTGAATGGTGATGCGATTTGAATCAAATCAGAGTCGTATATTTTGTATTTGTTTAAAATTATATTATGAAATATGAAAAATGTTTACATATATAAATAAAAGCAAAACAAAAAGAGTAGCATTTCATTTTCGTCACGGGAGAAACTATTTCCAGCAAGGGTAAGATCACCATCCACAAGAAGCCCCCTCCCCCCTCGTCTTTTCGTCTTTTTTTTTTTTTGCTTTGCTCGTAAAACTCACTAAAACTCTATGAATATTCTATAGTCCATATGTTGTCCTGTTTACAACAAAGCACAGCCGTTTGACACGAAAGAGAAAAATATTTCAACGTAAAATGATGAACAATGAGTCACTATAAGACACGCCTACATCGCACAGAGATTTCAAGGTGCGCTAAGGATTGTGGGTTTCCTGTACGGACAAGACACTGGAATCGTGTGATGTAGTGAAACGTCGAAAATTCTCTCTCATTTCAATCCTGTTGGGCCGATTGCAGTAATATTGTTCTATATGATAAAGTATGAATTGGGGAACAGATTTGTGGGTACGTGTTGTCGATAACTTGGATGTAAAGTTGTTAATTCTCTGCAAACGATTGCTTCACGTCGGCCATTCCTGAGTCATCACATGGAAGCCGCACTCAGGTTTAATGTCATTTTGCTGTTTATGTTAATGTTTTCTCTACATTTGTAGGATCAATTTGATTTAATCTCGGCGCATACTCATTCTGGCATAGAGTTTGTGGAAAAGGTTTCTAAATTTGTCAAGGAAAGAGCTCAAATCGAAGCAAACTATGCTCGGGAGCTGAGGTGAGGCGTTTTTAAATAGCAATGCATTGGGCCATATGCTAGATATCTTCTCTTATTTATCCCATCATTTGATCGATTGATTATTTATTTACTCTCTACGGGGAGCAAGGGCTTTCTTCCATCGTATTTGAGTAAGAATGAAGTGTCGAATCGTGACTTTGTTTTCAATAGCCAACGAACCGAAACACTGGTTTATCGGTTTTAGTTTGACATGTTAATACCGTAGATTATACACAAATTATATTACTTATATTACATGTCCTTTTTGTGGATTTCGTTTTACGCTTCTGTTTCGTAACTAAACTTTTGGATGAGTTTGAATTATTTTCCGGAAATAGTCATTTTCAAGCATGAAATCGTGGCGTTAGTCCACCAAGACCAGCAAGAATTTATATACATTGTTTACAAACTACTAAAAATATCCCTGTCGAAAGTGTGAAATCACGACAATGAGGATAATATAGTGGAATCAGTAGATGCTACAGCTCAAACATATGATATTATATTTTTAAGAAAGTTACAATTAGTTCAAATAGTTGATTTGTGTAGCCAAAGCTTCCTTGCTATTTGGTATTTAATATTCATCGAATATATATTCATTCAGCACTATCGGTGTTACATTTGTCACTTGAAAATATTTCAGTTTTACTTCGACCGCAGATCAGCTCTGATCTCTTAAGCTCTTTGTCGTAGGAGTCTATAGCCACAAAATGCATGAGTAGACTGATCGTAGATTGCGATATTAGTATACGAAATAATGTGCTACAATAACGCGGTGAACCGTACTCTACCAGTTTCTCAAGGTGTCTTGGTCCGAAAGCTTGTAAATAATACAGCTTAGACTAAACTATAGTTTACTATTTATTATGAAAAATATTTCCCAAAAAGTCAATATATTTGTAAACCGGATTATAAGGCCTTTTCTTTTGTTCTGTTATAAAATGTCAACAATGTTTTCTAACAAAGAAAAGTATGCTCACTATATGGTCAATACATGTAAGTTACATGTAAGTTACGTATAAAGAAAGAGAAATATTTCGTTTTGTGTCCTATTGATAAARATGTTTTTAAGCTGTGTTTAAAATGTGATATATGTTGAAGTTTTATGAATGAGTATTTTCTTCAGTGAAATGTGATATATGTAAGGTAGATAGATAACCCATCAATACACTTGCTGTGACAAGTTCAACGCTTTATAACTGCTATACAAATACATTTTATGAATAATCTTTTGGAATTAATAGGATTTCTGAAGAATTAATAGTATTTTAGGGAATGGTTCACGGATGCAAATAGCTCAAGAATGAGGAAGGAAGTAGATTCTTTGTGACAAAAATAATTAACTTGTATGCATAGAAAACGTCTTACTCTGGCAAAGGACCAGTGTCTGAAACTTAGTTTTCTATCCTCTTTACGATGGATRTTGCTTTATCACTTAGAGTGATTTAAAAACTAATACACTTAAATGGTAAAGTTCACACAAGTCTTGAAAGTGCTGAATATTAAAATAGAAATTCAAGGCCTGAAAGTGCTTGAAGAAGTTTTTGTTTTTAAGCATTGAAATGAAWAGACTGCTATCAAATAAGATTGTGGCTAAATAAAACAGTTTTCAGGGATGTAAATAAAAGTGAAAGAGCAGTATTTTGCAACTCAAGACACTTTAGTTATTAAAGATTTACTAGGTGATGAGAAAGCTGTTCAGTGTTTAATATCACTTACCATATTTTATTGTTATATACCTCTATGACATGCATTGATTTAGTTATGCATTCGCTTTCACAGTTTGGGGTGCTAAGGGTTGAATCCTCATCTCAATTTACAGTAAATTGTCCAWTWAKGGGAGAATGACATGTAGAAACAAAATAYGATGGGAARAATGCATTAAAAAGACAAATTTATCAAAGTCAAGCCTCCTATTTTGAGTGTATCCAGGAGCTTCTAGAAACAGCAAAGTAAAAACATCAAAATATATAAGATTGATTGTTTTGCARTTTTTTGGTCATCACTCAATAYCAAACATTACCATAGTTTACAGTCMCAYTTATGTTATAATACACACTCTCATAAAACAAATTTACTCTGGCTACAGTCCTGCATTTCCATAAATAGTYTTAATGTTATAGGATTGGAGTGAAAGTACTTGAAAAGTTCTTGAATTGGAACTTTTCTTGTATGAACCCTCAGTATGTATTATTTTCTTTTATGTTGATTGGACTATTTTGCAGCTTAAATATAAGGTTTTTACTCTTCGTGTAAGTGTTTCATTAGAAACTGTTTTGGCCGATGCTAGCTCAGCACTAGTAATCTTTCTAAATACCATTTACTTAAATAGTTCTTAAATACCCTAAATGATAAGTGAATTCCAWTTTATATGTGATTCAACAAATCCAAAAGTTTATCTTTTTTGTACAAATATGAATGGTATAACGCAAAGTTATTATTGCTGAATTGTAAGCCATCTTCACTGTCTTGGCTACATCTCACATCTTTGTGAGTTAAAATTATACAAAAATTATAAAAATTAAAATTATATGAAACCCACCCTTTTATAATACTTCATACACATGCCACCCTATTTTATATTTTTAATACATTTTCTCACAATACGGCTTTTTCCCGTTCAAAGCAAGTGACTGCTGTTTTAGTTGACAACAATCTTTCTAGAACAAATACCTTTTCAAAAAAAATAAAGAAAGCATGAAAAACTGTTGTCATAGCAATACCTCTAGAAATCTGTATTTTCTCCCATTTGAGGMTAAGCCTGTATTTCCAAAAGTCTCAAACTCTAGGTCTTTTGGGAAATACAGGCTTAGCCTCAAATCTGAGCAGATTCAAATTTCCAGAGTTATTGTAAATAACTAATTAATTTTTCATGCATTTCAGCAAGTAAGTCTGTTGTCTAAAAAAACAGCAGTCACTTGCATTGAATGGGGGAAAAAAGGCTTATTTACTCCCAGTACTTGTGTTTAATAAGATAATTTACGCTAAGTATTTATTCTAATTGTGTGAATGCATTTTCTTTCAGGAAGCTTGCCAGAAATTTTCAACCAAAGAAAAAAGAAGATGATGTCAAGTAAGTCCGAAGTATTGAAATATATAGTGATAATGTGACTGAGGTTTTGTTTAATTGATTGTCAATCTTAAAAAGATTGATTGCTCAGTTAAAAACAGTATACAGATAGCAATAAAGGACAAAAAAGATTGTAGTTGTGGACCATACATTAACTGCTCTCATTGACTGGCTCTTATTTTTTGCCCAGACAAAAAAARTGARCATTGATCAGTGTACAGTACTGTRTTGCMACAAATGAGAGTAATGTATAAGTAKTCGCAATAAATATAATTGTTTTATTTCAGATATACATTTCATAAGTCCTTTGTTGGTGTTGTCAAGGAGACGGACGATTTAGCGGGACAGCATGAATTAATTGCTGAAAATTTGAATGGAAAAGTTTACAAAGAGTTAAAACAGATGCACGGAGAACTTAAGAATGAAAGAAATAAGGTACCATTTATATCTTTTCATCTTTTTTTTTGTTCCTAAATCCTCTCTTTGGCCTCCTATTTAATATTCTTTTCTGTGAGTTTTTTGTTTGAATTTCCTCTTCCTCTTTCTTTTTTCCATTTTCATTTTGTTTTTATTTCTTCCTCTCTAGTGATCTTCTGCACTTTTTCTCTTTCCTTTTTTTCAATTTCTTCCTCTTTGTCTTTTTTCCTTTTATATTTCTATCCTTGTTTCTTTCTTCCTCTCTCTCCTTTCTTTCTTTACATTTTCTCTTGGTCTCTTTCCTTCCTTCCTTTCTTCCCTTCCCTCCTATATGTACATTAACCTACTTAACCTACTAATCCAGTTTGTTTCTTTTAGTTGCCATTTCCCATTTCCCAGTCATATTTTCACTTTCTTGTTCTTCAGCATCTTGCAGAATCCAGAAAAGTTCAAGATTCACTAGACCAGTCGATGAAAACGCTGGATAATGTATGTTTTTGTTTTCAGATTTTTTTTGGTTGTTTATGTACTTGTGTGYTTTAAGTGTTATTGCTAAATTTCTCATTTTTCCATTTCAAGGTAAAAAAAGCTTATGAGAAAGCTAGTGGTGAAGCTGAGCAGGCATTCGGCGTTTTTCAAAAAGCAGATCAAGACATGAGCAAGACAAAGTTAGAAGTAGAAAAGGTGTCCATTTATCTTTTACAGTATTTAAATTGCTTTTTAATATATAAAATATAAACGGGAGACCTTTTTGGGTATTTAAAACTGCAAGCTACWTGTACAAGTGAGCAGTTTTATAGCCCATAAAGGTCGGATGTGAATATTTTATATTGCTTATCAAATTCCAACATAAGCTAAAGCATATTTTAAGTTAAAATGTCATTTTTAGAGAAAATTGAGGTTAAAGTTGTATGCTAATCACATATAAAGATGTGGTCACGGCAAAGATTTTCCATTGTGTTTATGAATTATTAATGAATTTGATAACTAGTTATCAAAATTACTAAAGACTGTAAATGAATGGTATTCAATGTTTTCTATTTTACCGTTTGTTGTTCAGTGCAAATCAACTTCAATGGAGAAAGGACAATTGGCAGACAAGGCGAAAGARGAATAYAGATCACAGTTGGATAAGACAAACAGTAAACAAACTTTACACTACACTAGCGAGATGCCTGCAGTGTTCAATGTAAGCTCACTTTGCCAAAATGACATTTAAGATATTAGTTGTGTGAAAAGATAAATGTTAACACTGTCAAAAAGTAGGTGAAGCAACCTACATTCACCTACTTTTTACGGTGTTAAGATTTGTCTTTTTACACAACCGTTTCTTTAGAAACACAGACACAGCTCACACTAGTTTACTGCTAGTTTACACCATTTAAGATATTAATAAATTTGATTTCAAATTGAGTGCTGAATTTTGTGAAATCAGTTTTGTAACTGGCACCATTCGACTGAARTACCTCCCTGCCATCCCCAGGTATAATTCCAAAGTAAAGCTTACTCGTTCTCTCTGATTGTATCACTRTTGTAGGAGATGCAGGCGATGGAGGAAAACAGAATTGCTAAAATTGGATCATTACTGACAGAGTACTCAGACATCCACTCTACCGTTATGCCTATCATACAAACTTGTTTGAACAACATGAAGTCTAATGCRGCATCAGTGGACGGGAAACAGGTATCACGATTAAAGGATTGTAYATGTAATAAACAATACACATAGCTCCAGTTCTCAGTGTCACCTCGATGGCTACTGTAGGCTGCTCTGTAATATAAGCAATTCCTTTCCCTGGTTCAGTGTTCTGCTTTCTTCAACTACATGTATTTCTGGGAAATCATGGCTTTTTGTTCCCCAAAACAACACGGCTAAGGAATAAGGGTTATAAAGCCGTGAGAATTTTGTAGATGCCTCATTTTTTGCCGGAGGTGTTTCAACGCAAATTCCTCGCATTTTAACAGCCATCTTACAGGAGAAGTACATGAACACCAGTTTGAATACTGTCTTGCCTTCATACAGAGGCACTGCTTCCTATAAAATCAAAGTATTTTGGGAACWATATATGTGCGTAAAAGGATGTCACGTCCGTAACATCGTTTTTTTGGATTCAACTTACGCAGTAAGCAAAGCAAGTAAAGCTATAAAATGAGTTTTACTTACGTTTCTTTGTTTTAGGATTCTACAATTCTAATCGAGCAACACAAGACTTCGCTACCACCCCCTGGGGATATACCTTTTGAAGAATATGGCAAAACAAATGGTACAGGAACTCCTGTAGGAAAACAGAAGAAGAAAAAAGAGAAAAAGAAAGGGTTTACATTTGGAAAGAAAAAGGTGATAATTGTAAATACACTTTTTGAAAATCAAGAAAGATTGAGGCTTTTACAGATTTTATTCGCCAGAAGTGAAAATTACTGTCTTGGACTGCATTGTTAGAATTAAATATTTTCTCAAAAGAATCACAAYCAACCGCCGTACCTTGCGAGCCGAAGGTGGACACGAAAATGGCGGATTCGTAGGATTTCTTTTAAAGTGAGCGCGAGTCGTCTTCCGTCTTTTTAGTTTGGACAGAAATACCTTTAACTAAGTACCTCACAGGAACTATCAATCTATAATCTATTGTATGCTTGGCACATTTAAACGTATGTAAACAATAAGAGCGCGCAAGGTACGGCGGTTGGTTATGATTCTTTAAAGTGTGCAAGGTTACTGCGACGTTTTTTGCTTAATAACTTAATCTTTGATACTTCATATGTCTTGCAGGTTGAAGGAGATGGTAACGACTTCAATACGCTACCGCCAGGGGAGCAAGTACGAATTTGTAAGAAAAATATTAAAACTTTTGAGCAGCAAGTAAATCAGCTAAAATCAGCGAGGTTAGTCTCAACATAAATATACCTAGTGTCCRTAGAATTGCTCGAATCTCCTCAAAACGCRTTTTCCGTTGTTACTACATGTGAAAACGCGTTTGAGATCGTATTGTGGCAATTATATGAACACTAGGCCATAGAACTACATGTATTGAGCAAATTGTGTAAAGTTTTGCACAAATTTAGTGTTTATACGTATTTTTTGATAAAAGTAGTCCAGCCCCTTAAATACTAAATTCAAAAAAAGGTGCCGGAACAAGCGGTGAACTAGTGTGAGCTGCGTCGGTGTTTCCAAAGAAAAAGTTGTGTAAATAGATAAATTTAAGCTTAACACCGTAAAAAGTAGGTGAAACAACTTCGTTGGAGTAAAACGATGACGAAGGATTAACGTCCGAAACGTCAGTAACTTGTTTCACCTACTTTTTAACGGTGTTAAATTTATCTTTTTCCTTAACTGTAAATTAAAAAATATATAAGCTTAATATTAACAATGTAACACTATTTTGTGTTATGAAGGGAAGCAATGGAGAAAATGGCTCAAGTTTATCAACAAAATCCCAACCTTGGCGACCCTGCATCTACAGAAGAAGGATTACGAGAAAATGCGAAGGAACTTGACAGATGCAGCATGGAGCTGTTTAAATATCAGTCATATTTGGCTACTATCGAAAACACGCCGGCTCCAACACCGCCACCATCTTATTCAAAGCCCTCAAGTGCGCAGCCTCCTCCAGCCCCATCAGATAATGTCCCTCCAGCACCTCCACCCGCACCTAGTCTATTAGTTCCCCCTGTGGAAGAACCTGAAGATATTGATGGTGAATTTGAAGAGGAAAGATGTCGAGTGCTTTACGATTTTGAAGGTATTTTCCTCATTGTATTTGACACAAAAATAGAAGAAGAAAAAACTCTAAAAATTAATCAATAATTGTAACAATCAATTAATGAATAGATACATTGATTAATGACGGGATTTAACAACCCCAAATAACTTAATATCCAGACAGCCCTCGTTAAAACGAACACCTTCGGGAACGTATTGAAGCGTCCATATAAATGGACTTACTTTCAGTAATCTCTTTAAGCCTAAGGATATATTCAAGTGTCCGCATTAATGTCCGTAATATCGGGGTTTACGCACGGCAAGAGATGACTTTAGCAGGTGTCCGTTTTAAAGGGAGCATTCGTATTAAAGAGGTTTCGGTAATAATCGGCTGCCCGCAATAAGAACTTTGACCGTACGAATATGTGAAATTTTCAATAAAATGTTTTTTAATTATCCAAAGGTACCAACGATGGAGAGCTACCAGTTCGAGAAGGCGAGGAACTGATCGTTACAGAGGCTGATAACGATGGAAGTGGCTGGACGAAGGTCATGGGAAGCAATGACAACGAAGGATATGTCCCTACAGCGTACCTGATGATGATAGACTAACAGAACATAGTAAATCAATACTTGTTTTTGAAATTCAAAACATATAAATTTAAAATATTTTTTGATTCATTGAAAAGGCGACGTTACAGCAGTTGCATTTGAGATTGTTAAAAGATATAAACCTACGCTTTAAAGGAATCATGGGTTATGTGACGTCATGTGTCAATCAACCTGTCAATTAATTCGTTTCTTTTCCAAGAGTAGATGCACTTAATCCGTGAACCAAAAATGGTACAAAATTGGTTATAATTGTTTCCTTTGTCTGATACTATTTTGTAGAAATTATTAAAATTTTCTTCACGGATTAGCCGCATCTACTCTTTTTTCAAACTATAACTAACCATATATAGTTTATATAACACATATCCCATGATCCTCCTTGTATTTACGTAGGCTTGACTTAACATCAATACGTAAACGTTTTACGAATTGCCCTTCGTCCGTTATAAAAGTACGAAAGTGGTTAGTTTTCTTCGTTTTCTCGAAAGCAAAAACACCAAAACTAAATGAAAAACAAAACAAGGAAAACAAGAAGACAAGGAAAAACGTAACAGATTTCTGTAAGTACAGCAAACTTGCGTTAGGATTTATAACGGAAACGCTTGTCTTATGTGCGCGGAAAACATAGCGAAAAGAAATTTGGAAACTATCCGTACTTTAAGAAGTAAAGGGCAATATATAACTGAATCTGGTAAAGAAGCTGAATTGTGGTCGAAAATGCCAAGCAACGTCGAATTTTTACTTGGCAAGCGTAACGATATCACGGCATCTCTTGGAAGGAGGTGTATTTGGCCAAAATTCATCGTCTTCTCGACATCACGATTCGATACAAAGCTCTGTAGTGTCGACAGAATAAAATTATTATGTTTATTACGCACAATTTTAAAAAATAAGAAAATAATTTTGATTAAAAAACAACCTTTTTATTGCTATATAAGTTTTAGAATTCTTCAGTGATGAGGTCACGGACCGAAAATTACGTCATCATTGAAGTGACGTCAGAGCATCGTCATTGTAATAAATGATATTTTTGGTAGACTTTAAAATTATTCAGGGGGAAATATGGGTAAGATTTTAACCCGGCAATCCCTTTGAAATCATTTTACCAGAAACTGTACATTGTGTTATTCCATTTAATTGCGTTTTGATGTTTTAAGATAAAGTATAATAAATAATATTTACAAAAAGCTCGGTTTGTTTTCGTAATTTTGGTGGTGCATCGTTCCTAATGTTACACAAAAACCCGTGCAATTTGAATRAAGAATGTTCATATTATTCACGTCAAAATAGATGATAATGAACTGGACTGTCCTTGCTAGCGTAGTTTCTTTCTCTATTACAGTTAAGTGTTCTTAAATTAATTCCTTTTGAAAAGGAACTCTACTCTTCTTCCCCAATTATTTTGAAAGTATAGTCGAAACTTGTCTCGAAAGAAGCCCGAAACTGAATCAGYCAAGATTGAGCATTGCTACTCCCTCTGCGCTCAGCTCAATTTCAATTTTCATAGTTTATTTTTCATCTATTKTTTTCTCTTCTGCTGTCCCCTTCCCACCGTCCTGWCCTCCGTCAGTTTCACTGTTTTCTTGCGTTTTCAATTCTTGCTCTTTGCYARCACTTTCCCCTTTCTSTTCAGCTTTCTTTTCTGTTGAAGAGGCTTTTAAATCATCTYCTTTCTTTTTGTCTCCGTCTTTCGTCGCGTAGGGATTCTCATACAAATACTCCAAGGCAAGTAAATAATAGATCCCAAAATACGCGCCATAGATGAGAAAATTCAMAAACCATGTGATGTTGATGTTCACAATGGGCAAAATAACTGTCATGCTGAAATTTCTGAAGAAAATTCTTGTTACTTTTCAATTATGAAGGAAAAAAACTCTACCGACTACTGTGAGTATTTATTGAGTGTTTGGGATTTTAATTAATGAAACGGGTGGCCAAATTGCTGTTGCTTAAAATGCTGAATATATTTGCATATATAATTAACTGGTCGTCGAAAACAACAGTGCAATAGTACGCCTGTTCTGATTGGTTTATGAGCCGTGCTTCAAATGCGTATTCTGATTGGTCTATGGACGGTGTTTCGTTTGCCTGTTAAACACAATCAATTGCGCATGCGTGATATCTCATCCTAATTCACTTATTACAAGAATGATGAACTCTTTCTCTCCCTTATTCTAGTCTCCGTTTTTCCTCTTTTTTTCATTTTCCATTTTATTTGACAATGTGTAAGACGAATTTCAAACGCCTCATTTTATATGTGCCGAAGTCGCCACAACAAGATGATGATAACCACTGAACGCAAACTCTGCACTGACTTCGGCACATGTGAGATTCGGCGTTCAAAACAGCCCAGGGAGAAGTCGATTCTTAGGGGAGTGGGGTGGCGGAAACTAGTGGGTGGCCGACAAGACGTATAAAGAAATAGAATACGTTTAAACGTATCGCCTGTCTTCACTTTTACCATGGTGCATTGCATTGGATATCAGATCGATTTTTTTTCTGTTCTGCATGCCCCAWACAGGCAAAATGAAAAGGCAGTATTAACTCAGCTGAAACATGAATCTGGACATTATTTACACTTCCAAAATTGAAAAAAATATGTAAAAATTTAAGTAAATTGATAGTTTACTGAGATTTAAAAGTGAAATGTTTTGATGAAAGATTAATACCCGAGGGATTTCCCGAAAGTATTTAGTTTCAACTAAAGAAGTCTGCTCCCTATTGATGACGATAGTAAGCCGAACAGGTTTTGAATTCACAGCAGACTATCACGACRGCTGAGTAAACTCCATAGCAGGTTAGTAAAGTTATATTTCTAAACATTCTGTTGGGTTGTTTATATTCAGTTCCGAGATAAAGCATTGAATTTCTCATATCATTTAGAAAAATATACAAAGATTTMTCAKATTTTTCGACARTCAAAATGATCAAGGTGCTGGCTGTATTTTGTCTCGTGCTTTGCACGTTTTGGACGTCAACAGCAAAAGATGTGCAATTTTCAGGTAAGCTCAGCAAGTTTTACCATAATTTTAGAGTTTTGATTTATTTAATAAGTACGACTTATTCTGCCTACAAAGCACGAAATCTTTTTTTTTTCCGTTTATAGAAAAAAATTCAGAAGGCTTGAAAAATGCTACTGAAATTATAAAATAAAGCAATTACTTCTTTTAAGAAGCGCTTTCTACGGAGTGCATGAAAGAAATGAAGTGAAATATCAATTTATGGCTTAGTCAATAGCGCTTCAAAATGGCGCAACGTTTTTCAAACCGCCATAATGATGTCATGCAGAGCTTCATCCCAAAACGGCTAATTCCATAATAACTGGTCGAAAGGCTTCTCAGCAATCTCATTTCTTTGGTCATGGGTTCACATACATTATGTCAACACAGCGCAGAATGACCAGCAAGAAAAACTCACTTGCGCTCGCATTAACTCCTCAAGACTTGAGTCTAAAAACATCCGCCCGGTGAAAAAAAGTCAAAACAAATACAAAATTAACTGTATAATTGTAGAACTTGCACAAACACTGGTCCGTTCCGCTAATATATTATCAAAAAGACAATTTTAGCCTACTGAATTCTTAGGTAAAGCAATATTCTTTGATACAAATGAAAGCGCAGCCCATCCAAAATCATTTTCAGCTCAGAAATGTAGGATATTTCTATGTTTGAAGTGTTGATRGACGATACTATCAAATACGTCCTTAAAAAGCGGATGCAACGCAGGCGACGAATGCCACCTTGACTTCCTGTACTATTTAGCGCAATGTGCCGAAACAAGCAGACAGTTTACACATTGCATCTCTATATTTAAGACTCAAAATATAAAAGTGTTTTCGTCAAATTTGATTAAACAATTTTGTGTGTATTTCTTGTTTTAGCTGTAGCCAGCCTTGCTGTAGCTCTGGTTGTAACTCCGTTACACGCCTGGTAGGGGTCGGCTTTTCCGGCTCCGAGGGGCCCTTTAGGGTCAAAAAATGTCGTTGCGCTTTCGTGCACATAGTGTACACAAAACCAAACAGAAATAGACATTAAATTCAATGGTACAGCAAGTTTTGCGTACATTTTTCTTAGAGGTCATTTCCAAAACCCTCCGTCGAGACTGTCGTAAGAGTTTCGTAATATTTTGCATATTGTGTTKAGCGCAATGCAATATGGGAAGGATTTATATATTGTTATTTACAGAATTCACACCAAACTGCAAACTCTGAAGCCATGAAAAACCAAATTGTGCTGATCAATTACGCGAATTTCTTTGTTTTCTCTTTCCTATATTGTGTTTTTAGTACTGTTTAGTTGTACCTTTTTACGCTTTCATGGTTTGCACGCTAAATCCGCGAAACACGTACTACTCGATAGAAAAGCTAACCACTTTAAACCATCGCGAACAAAGGATTTAGTAGATTTCATCGCGATAAATCCGTGAACATTGCTTTATTTACTCTCAGGTATCTTAATTTTATAGCAAATCATTTTTTTTAAGTGAGGCTTTTAATAATCCGTGAAATACTTTTTATCGCATTACGATGTTTTCATAGTAAATATGTTTTTGTTTGTACACCGCAGACGACGTGTGTACGGAAATGGCTCGGTCTGACCAGCATCGGCAATTAAACCTCGATTTCCCTTTACGTAATACCTACGCGTTCCTGCTGCTTGTGGTCATGCATTATGATTTGATACAAGTGAATAACGTACGGTTTGACGTACGGTCTTACGTAATACCGACTCAGTCCAGCTGCTCGCGGTCATGTGTTATGATTTGATACGCGAACAACGCACGATTTAACGTACGGCCTTACGTAATACCGACGCGGTCCTCTGCTCGTGGTCATATATTAGGTATGTTTGATACGAGTGAATAGCGTACGATTTAACGTACGGCCTTATGTAATACCGTAGTGGTCCCGCAGCTCGCGGTCATGTATCATAATATATTTGATAAGTTAATAACGTAAGATTTAACTTACGGCCTTACGTAATACCGACGCGGTCCTGCTGTTAGTGGTCAATAACGTATTGCCTTCAGTGGCCTCCGCCAAAGGAACGACGACCTCTACGTACTTCCGACTCCCGCCGATACGAAAACCASCACGRCATCCTTTGACATGTTGACGAAGCCGAATAAGTCTGAAATAGCAATCCTTGTTTGCTTCTTGACATCGTTTGACATGTTGACGAAACCAAATAAGTCTGAAATAGCAATCCTTATTTGCTTCTTTACTGGCTCAATTGTCTGCTTCGTGTTGTTGTCCTTCAGTTATTAATATCTTAATAGTATTGAATAATCAATCAATAGTTATCATACCAATTCAATACCACGAGACAAGAATTGCATGCAATAACATACTGTCCCTCCCCTCCTTAGCTATCAAGTGCCATAAATACCCAGCTCCCAAAAACGGCCAGATGTATTGTACGACGACTTCCGGTTCATCAGATGTGACATGCTCCATGAAATGCAACAAAGGTTATGACGTCAACTTCCTTGGATCAAAAACATACGTTTGTAATGACAATGGCTCGTGGACCACAATGCCTCCTGGTGGTGATTTGCCCTGGCCAGATTGTAGAATATATGGGTAAGCTTAGGCTCTCGCTACCCATATTAGGGCTCAAGGGTAGGCTTCCTTTGGCTAGCAAATGAATGTGGGGGAGTGAGAGCGAGAAGAAGAGTTTGTTTCTCTCTCTCTCTCTCTCTCTCGGTCCCATTTGCTTCAATTTTCTCTGGAGCATGGAGCAACTGTATACACAGCCTGCTGACAGAATTATCGTTGGTACACGAGTATACGCTCTAAGAGCGTCTTGTTTTCATCATTGTATTGCAGTACGAATAGACCTCCGAAGCTTTTACGTCATGTAGTGTAAACTCAATGCATTGTTGGTTGTTGTAAATGCTTGGTGGATTTCTGTTTTCTCTAACTGACCCCTCAGTGCATTGGAGATCAAGAAGTGACGTAAAAGGTTCAAAAATCTATTGACAACTTTTGTCATAGTGATTTGCACAAAATCGTGAAAATTGACCCATTTTTGATCAAAATGAATGGACTATAGGTACGAATAGACCTCCGAAGCTTTTACGTCATGTAGTGTAAACTCAATGCATTGTTGGTTGTTGTAAATGCTTGGTGGATTTCTGTTTTCTCTAACTGACCCCTCAGTGCATTGGAGATCAAGAAGTGACGTAAAAGGTTCAAAAATCTATTGACAACTTTTGTCATAGTGATTTGCAATGCTCTTGTTTTTCTATTTCTCTTGTTATTGATATTAACCAGCAATCTTTCAACGTCCACAGAAGAGGAGAACCAGTCCCCTAAAATGGCGACGCGAARCAACCTTGGACTGTCATCCTTTGGCTGAAGACACAAGACGAACTTGACGAGTTTATAATGCAATTAAACGATTTATTTAAAAATTAAAATATCAGTGATCCTGCTAATGCAGAAAATACTAGCACCACAATTTTGTATAAAATTAATTAAAATTAATATGCAGCTTATCAGATTGCTTCTTTTTTTCTGCGCGCGCATTTTATGACTTTGGATGACGTCATTGTTCTATCATAGTCATGACGTCATTAATGTTTTTTGATATCGATAATATTGGCTATTTGATGCCATCATTGGATTAAGAAATCATGAGTTTGGTAAGTTTGATTTTAATTATTTCTAACTGAACTAATACTTATACTTTGGAATGCGGGAATGGAGTTTAATTGGAGAATGAAAACACTGTGAAAATATGAAATTGAAGTTGAAAACACTTGAATATCATTCATTTTTCCTGAAGACAATCTATTGGAAGTTATTTTTGCTATGAAAACTTGTCAAACGGGCAAAGAGGAATATTGTGCATAATTATGAATAGCCAAACACAAGAGAAAAGAGATGTAATGGATTCTAACTTACCAAACGAATACGACTTGCCATTTTGATTTTCCTAACACTAGATTCATCTATTTAAACACAATTTCATACATGAACACRACAATTAGGCAAGTATTTCTAAAACTCTTCATCGAGATTCTTGTAATGCTTTTAAAATTGTTGTTTTCATTTCATTGCAGCAGAAATGTCGTCTAAAATAGAAAAATATGGTCAAGTGCGTACGATACAAACTCGATGACGACGGACCACTCGGGTACCCGGTCGTGGTAACTCCTACCTTCGTGGAGAAGCGAACTCTGACGTCACTGTTCATGTCGTCATGGATACCCGATATACTCTTAGCAATATATATCTGTCTAGTGATATCACTTGCGTTCTTCATATTGTACGTCATCAGTGGAGGCTTCATCATCAGCACTGTGATTGGATGGTTGATCGGTATCAGCACAGCTGTGTTTATATTGCCGTTCATCGCATCTCTGTTGATGGTCAATGCAATTGCTCTGTGCGCAGGCCCACTGGTGAACTTCTGCTGCAAAACGATGCGCAAGATTTGTGATGCAATGTGCGTGTTTTGGAGGGTATTTTTATACTATTTCCAAGGAATACTTGAGATGGCGGCTCGTAAGTTGTCGATGCAAGATTGCAAGACTAAGAGTGATTCAGGTTTATGATAATTGGCTAACGGAGAGAGGTCAAACAGCACTCTGAAACATTACAAAATCAAAAAGTACCAAAATATTAGCACATGATTAAACTATTTCTTTGCAAGATCAGATTTCTGTTCTGCTAGTAATATCTTCCGTATTTTTTTGATATTTTATTCGTTTTTTTTTACAATTTTGAAATTATCCTGCTCTCATGACAACGCAACCGTTTTGTCCACCACCCCTCCCCCGACGCTCCCTTTCAATTTCACCYTAATGAAAAGACCCGTGTGTTATGCATGACCGTCGCTAGTTTGAGCGACAAACCGTAAAAACCCAGGATCGAGAATCAATGGAATTAGTCTAGTTTATATCACATCGGAGTGCATTCATTCTTATATCCGTGAAACACTTTGTAGAATGGTTCATAATCCCGTGAAATAACGTGTAACAGACAAAGTGCAAAAATGTCTTTCCTCGAAAAGACAAAAAATTCAAAATAAATTAAGAGTAGTAATGAAAAGTACGGTAAAAATGTAATTAATGGGTTTATGGACAATATAACCTGTACACGCTGAATCACACAACAAAGGTGAGAATCACCCCACATGGACTGACTTTTCTAGGATTTTTTAAAATAAAAATTTTTGAAAACTAATCGATTTAGGATATCTATTGTGTAAAGATATAGTTACAAGTTATAGTTGMGTCAAAAATCCTTTTTACTTGACAAATCTGTCATTAACCTTGTTGGTGCCCGACGGGTACCTCRTTAGCATATGAYTCCTGAAATGGTAACCAGAGATCGTTCCAGTGGTCATTGTAGGTMTACAAAGATACAAAAGATCGCTATATGGATTTAAAACAACATAAAGGAGATAATACATCATTCAAGACTTTTCAAAGGACGTACTTGGTTGTTTACCTCTTGGCGCAAGGTATTTTTTTCAATTGACTGAATGTAGTCCATTGAATTGAACGCTTCTTTGTTCTCTGAAGTTAAAGTCATTATTGACAAAAGCTAGTTTTACTTACGTGTGACTTACTGTAATCAAATAATAGGCGTTCTGAGAACCTCTTTAACGTTTTTATTGCTTTGACATTGTTTTTAAATGTTTGCCAAATGTAAATACAGTTTCACGCGTGCAGGGGCACTTAGTACTTGAAATTGATAGTCTTTGCTACAAAAGTTCGCGCGTTTTGGAAACTTTGAACCACTTTTCACTCATCGAAGGGATATAATATTTGTATATATGAAATATTGCCGAATCACTGTGTGACAATGTATAAATTGTTTTTAGTGACTAKTGTTTTTCGCGCGCACATGAATGCCGCGTTTGGTGTTTTTGAACCATGCATGTACTTCAGGGTACCGGTTAAGTCTCATGACGCGAAGATTATTTGATTAAAGAAAGCATGCAGCTAGTAAAACAGCTATCTAATGAAAGAATCTTATTAACTAGTGTATTTATGAAGATCTCATTTTGATCATATTTGATCTCATCTGATCATGTTACTCGTCAAGTATGATCCCATTTGATCTCTTTTCATTTCAAAATCTTTTTGTCATCTCATTGATCATTTAGATCGTTTCGTCTGAAACTCTAATTTCATTAAAGCTCTTTTATCTCATTCATTTGAGTTATTTAATATGTTTTTTTACGTGATTTGTCAATAATGTTTTAATCTTATAATTGATCCTTTTTGATCTCTTCTAATCCTAGGATCTGATTGGCTACAAGGTCCCCATGTYTATGCTTTATATGCGAGTTATGGGCTCACATCACTACAAATTAACCAGCTATTTGTGGTTGGCTTTGGTGCATCCATGATCTTTGGCACTGTTGTGGGWTCTTTTGCCGACAAACTGTGAGTTAAATGGCACGCATGCACGAGTAAACTTGAAAAGATCAGGCTAATGTTTTCAAGATTACGACTCCAAGTTGGGGCGACACATGACAAAAAAAGTACTCGTAAACGTTAACAGATCTAGAATATTCCAAAGTGTGTCAAAACATTGATTTACCTCGAAGGTAATACTTTCAAAGTCCGTTAGAGGCAAGACTGTTACTGTGCATGTCATCCATTGACAGTGTTGTTGAAGTTGCAAAAGTTAGCAAGAGGGGGAGGGTGTGTGTGCTTAGTGGATTGTTTTGAAAATGAGGAAGAAGTTTACCCATAGGTCCTAGCAATTTGTAATTAATTAGCAATAATTACTTGATAATTACTTAGTATTTACTAATTAGTATTGGGCTCSTGGTCCAAGAGGACGGCATACCCCAGTCGAGGATTTGAGTAGAGTTTTGGTTTATATTATCACGGGGAAGGTGGGGACTCCGGGGTAATATAAAAGTACTTGGGATGCCAGTTGGATCTTTTAGGGGTGTGATTGGGAATCTTTTTCTGCATCTCTTAGGGTGTCGGAAAAGAAGAGAAAGATCACGTATCGATATTGATATTCCTCTGTGTTATTATAATATTCGTTGTGCAATCTCTTAGGGGTTAAAAATCAGTAAGCCACGCCCTTTTTTCAAGACTCCCAGAATATTATACGAGCTTTCCCGATACTTTTACCCCAAAGTCCCCACCCCCACCGGGATATTAATATCCTAAATTGTTTGTGGTTTTGATATAATGTCTTTCAGAGGAAGAAAGTTTAATTGCATGGTTTTTGCAGTTACATATGGATTATGTTGCATCACAAAGGTAACCMTGCAGAGTTAAAAAACATGTAAATTTTATTGTGCATTTTCAGCATCTGAGATAGCATGGTCAGTGAATGAATTTCTGATTGACGTTTATGTCATTAGGTCTTTTCAAATTTCTGGATTCTTATGGTTGGGCGTCTAATGGGCGGTACAGCTACTTCTATTCTGTTCAGTGCATTTGAAGCKTGGCTTGTGTGTGAACACACGAAGGTATGGGGGAGGGGGGGTGAATACTTGTCTTGGAGGGAGGGGGAACAAATGTACGAAGTTAAGGGGCTGGCCACTTGTCTTGGGGGGAGGACAAAGGTAAGAAGGAAAGGGGCTGGCCACTCGTCTTGGGGGGAGGACAAAGGTATGGAGTAAAGGGGCTGGCCAGTTGTCTTGGGGGGTGGGGGGCAAAGGTACGAAGTAAATGGGCTGGCCAGTTGTCTTGGCGGGAGGGTAAACAAAGCAATGAAGTAAAGGAGCTGGCCACTTGTCTTGGGGGGGAACAAAGGTACGAAGTTTAAGGGGGTTGCCACTTGTATCAGGTGGGGAAGGGATGGAAAGATTTTGTCAGTGCTGCTGATAAATCAGAGTACATGTTTTTTGTGTGTAAAATATTCAATAGAATTTTGACTTGTGCCAGTTTTTTCTTGATTCCCTAAAATAGACAATGATATTACTCTTATGAAGTGACACTTATTTCCTTATTTTTGATTCCAGAGAGGATTCGATAATTCTTTGTTGTCTGTGGTGTTTTCTCATGCCAGTGTTGGTAACTCTGTAGTAGCAATTGTTGCTGGTTTGGTTGCACAGTTTGTGGCATCTCAATTTGGTTTTGTGTGAGTAAGCAAGTCGTTACTATGCTATTGACCAAAAATGGGTTTGGAGCCAGGGGATAGGGTATGCTTTTTGTGAGTTTAATTCTGGAATAAGCTACACTTTCAGGAGAGACTTAAACAATGTAAATTATGTTTAAAATACAGCAAAATGTGGTGTACAATTATTTTGTTTAGCTCCAAGGAAAATGTGCAACCTCATAATCAAGTCACACTTTATTTATTTTTAGAGCTCCCTTCATGGTTTCGYTAGCATTTCTTGTTTTACTTTGGTGGATTGTTTTTACAACTTGGACTGAAAACTATGGTGATGCCAAAGCAGACTTTTTGAATTCATTTGCAAAAGGGATTTCAGCAATCAAACATGGTGAATAGCTGGTTATATGCTTATTGTTCATTAACTGGCCAGGGTGTTTAAAAATGTATTATTATGTATCATTATTATTATATACATATCCATGTTTCCTTTGAGCATGGTATTACGGCCTTTATTTCAGATTCTCTGATATTATGTCTTGGTTTGATACAATCACTATTTGAAGGTTCAATGTACACATTTGTTTTGGAGTGGACTCCAGCTCTAACACCAGGTAAGTGTCCTCTCCACCCGCGGGCCTCTCCACTCCTCCATGAATGAACAGATGGATATTTAAAGTGATGTCTTAGAGATTTATTCTGACTGATCTAAGATTGTAATTAAATATAAAATACATCATTTTTTTCCAGTTGATGAACTCGGTACTAAAGATGCTAAAAAGACGATCCCACATGGTTGGATATTTGCATGTTTTATGGTATATATACTATACAATACTCATTGTCTAACTAACACTATTAAGTCTGTATACTAGAGCAAAGCATGATCCCTAGAGTTTCATTCACATTCCTTATTTTCCTGTTGTATATAGAAAAAATATTTGCTTTACAAGTGCATGTATGAAATGCTTTTTTCCTTAGGTCTCAGTCACATTGGGGTCTTTTATATTCAAGTATTGGAGTAGAATAAGTTATCCAGAGAGTTTTATGAGGTATGTAAAAGTCCCTAGAAGTCTAGGGGTTGATGCTGGCATCTGAATAGTAACATGTGCTCATATTTCAGGTTGGTGTTTGCAGTTTCTGCAATGTCTCTAGCTGTTCCTGTTATATTTCCTAAGGTAAAAACTCAATATGATAGTTTGTAAATAATACTGTATTGTTGATAAAGGAATGCTAATTATTATAATCATTAGAGTGCTCGCACTTAAAGYGTGAAACAAATAGTACTAATTACTACTAAATAGTGTTGATTATACAATARGAAACAAAGGAATTTATGTATAATTTATCACCTATTTTGTAGTATTTATATTTCACACATTTAGTGCGAGCACTCTATTGTTATTAATATATTATTATTATTATTATTATTATTATTTTTATCATCATCATCATCATTATTATTATTATTATTGTTATTATAAATTATTATTATTATTATTATTATTACTTCTATGTTTATCTAGAGCTATTTATATGTATTCATATCATTCTTGGTATTTGAAGTTTGTGTTGGTAAGTAGAGGTCTTTGTAGATTGGCAAAACGATTATATGCATGCAATGCAAAGTCATCTAAGCCTTGGGATGCTCCCCCCTGAGTCCATCTGACCCTGTATATCCACTTGAAATTTAGCTTTATCACGGCATGCTAAGCAATAACACACTGTGTCCATTTCTTTTCCAGGTATTTTTTGGCCAGCTCTTGGTACCATGAGGTCCAARTATATTCCAGAAGAAAGTGAGTTATTTTTTGGTATTTTCCACCTAGGAGCAGATCCAGGTGGTGTGAAGTGCACCTCTTCCTGAGTTCCTTGTACCTCTGAAAATAATAGTGTATTTGCACCTTTCATCCTCCAACAAAAGCGTTTCCAATCTCTTGTTTGTCTTGGCCAGCGCCGTCGACAAACATATTTCAGCGCTGGCCAAGAGAACGAAGACTCGGGGTACGAGATTGAAGCGTTTCTTGAGTTGGGCTGGCAAGGATTAATGATTGAAAAGTCACCCACGCTCTAAAGACCCTAGATTTCTGAGATGCACCTTTTGTCACATAGGAAGTGGTAGATCTAGGGTGGGGTGCCCACTGGTGCATTAGATCACCCCATAAAGCTGAAAATATTAGGTCACTTTGAAAAAAAAAGCCCTTGTTATGATGCGATGGGTAGCAAGGGAAATATGTACTTTTATGATATGTATTTTTTTAGTGGATCACTAAYGAGTCTAATTTTCTTACACCGCCCTGACAAATTTCTGGATCCAATCCTRATAGACATGAAGTGAAGTTGTAAACAAGAAAATAGAGGCAACTCTCTCGTAAGGGACCACTTCGGGATCAGGAAAAAGTAGTTGCTTACGAGAGTTGGTCGTTTACGAGAGTTTTTTTACAGAGTTTATATGGGAAACAATTATAACGGGAAATTTAAAAGGTGGTCGCTTGTGGGAGATGGTCGCTTACGAGAGTGGTCGTTCAAAGAGAGTCAACTGTATCTGTTTTACAATTGCAGGTCGTGCAACAATAATGAATGTGTTTCGTATACCTCTGAACTTTATCGTAATTATTATACTCCTTCAGGTGAGTAGAATAAAATTATCTTGTAAATAAACATTTTTGTGTGACAGAAATGAGAAGACTTTCATCTCAAAACTTAACCTTTGCACGGGCACTCTTTATAGCCACTCGGGATGGAAAAAGCTATGCGCAGTTAGTCTCATAATTGTATGAATWCTCAAGAGCTTTCGCCGGAAGCCAAAGCAAACTGCATTGCATGCTTTAGATGATTGCGTACTTGCAAAGCAAGTCGAAGTCGTGATTTCATTAAGCTTTTTGCAGTCTCGTTCCCAGAGCGAATAGTCTCTAGGAAACTCAATTGAAGCGGTCTATTGCCTCATACCATCTACATTTTTTTGTCTTTTAGGATTTACCAGTTGCTGTGGTATTCAAATGTTGCGTTGTATTTCTCATTTGTTGTTGTGCACTCCAGTTTTGGATGTTTTGGAGTTTGGAAAGTTTTAAGAAGTCTTCTAAAACAGAAGTTTTAATTAGGTAACTATAGTATCTAAGTCGATATCCTTGTTGGTAATTCTATATGATAGTTTATGTTATATATGTTTTCGTAGCTAACAAAACTTTGTTTGATTCAAGTGACCTTTGAAGCAAATATCTAAGATTGGCGATGATGGTAATGGTGGCGTCAATTCATAAAAGTCGCTCCTCCGAAAAAAACAACTCCAAACTCGCACCCCTTCTGTTCTTATTTATTCGCGAAACGATTGAAGAAAAGGATCCTYCCTTTTGGTCGCGGAAGATTGGCTCCAGTTTCAGGGTTTTACGATTTTGTTATATAAAATCCATTAGCTAGGAAGAAGCCAGGAGACAGTAGTTTCAGTGCATGGTGATATAAGGGTTCTGCAACCGGTGYCTCAAGGTGTCGCTGTTGGACAACCAGCCCGGGTTGCCAGGAACGAGCCAATTAGTCGTTAAGTACACGTCTTTACCTCATTTCATCCAAGAAATAATGTATAGCTGAATCATTACAAAAAAATATATTTTTATATTACTTATATATTTGCATWCGTGTAAAATGGAATTATTTTCATAATTATAATTAACAATTTCAGTAATGTTAATAAATTTATAAATTTAAGATGCATTGAAACTTTAAAGRAGCATTATTAAAAAGCACTTRCGTCAATGATCTGTGTGATCTTTTGTCCCTTTACCATCACAATATCGTTGATATCTGATAAAGGCCATAATWTACGGATAATATACATCACATTTTCTCAGTTTTCTTTAGAAATAAAAAGTACCGCAAGGGTCCGACTCCTCCATCGCTTTGTGTAGGTCATAGCAGAAAGCGTACGTTTTTCAACATACTTAAGTATGTAATCCCAGTCATCGAGACTAAGAGAAGCATAGGTCAGGTATTGTGCTTGACTTGACGACWTTATTTTCCTATATCCCTTATTTAAACCTAAAAAAATGTTTAATCCAATTCAATACGGAATTTTGATCGCAGTTCATTTGAAAACGTGAAACAAGCTACCAAAAGCGCTTTCGTTGTCACTAAATCATGGTGAGTACCGAATACATACATGTCCTTGACTGAATGACGAATTGTAGTTTCAGTGGAGCGCTGTCCATGAAACATTTTGCACGAAATTACACAAATTATGTTTTGATAAATGGTGTATGAGGTCGAGTGGACCTCAAGAAGAATTGATATTCCTAGTCTGKGCTCTGATTATCCATTATCGATCCACCAAACTAAGAAAAAATTAGGAAAAGAAAACAACTTTTCTCGACCATTTTTAGACTTTCTTCGTTTTTCTTAGCAGTCCAATAGCCAATCAGAATGCTGGTTTTGTGGTGGGATATTTAGTATATTGCTAGTAGTATGTAGAGTGGACGCACTTATAAATTGAAGTCAATGAGTAAAGTTCAGTTTCCAAGTGGAACTATCACGGCTTAATGTCCGAGATTTCAACTGCTCTATTGTTTTTATTATTCAACATAATTTTCTGAAACGGCGGTCTCTATGTGTTGATAGATGCCCTCCGACTCTCCAACAATGAGAATGGAGGATATTTTTTGGTTGAATTAGTTTCACGGACACTAAGTGAGCCCGGCTTCGACACCTTGTTTTGGTTGTTTTATCTATTAGTTAAATTTGAGCATTAGAACTCAAAAAACCCGTGAAATAGATATTACACTAATACACCTTAGTACTCTCTGATTGTATTGTTTTCTTTTGTGTCTATTTGACTCTCAAATTTTGTTTCACGGGTTTAAGGACCTCACTTTATACGCTAACATTTAGCTAGCGTTTCTCCGGTAAATTTTTATATTAGAGAGCTTAAGCATGACGTGGTTTAACTGCTCTGATTGGTAAATTTCATTTTCAAACTCTGCCGTCACAGTTCGAAAACGCATGCATATAAAAAGCACTCTGATTGGCTTAATTCCGATCGACAAAAGTCATGACAACGTCCACGTTCCTGGCAACGGATTTTACAAACTATTCATAGCACCAAGGATACTCGCCAGCTCATCAACAGTTTATGTCCTTTCCAGTGGTTCATTGTTCTTATATTCTTTACAAAATGAACCAATTTTTTGGTTTTTCCTCAGTGACAAAATGATGTCACAAATATGGCACCTTTTTTCTGCAGTCTGCTGAAATGGTACTTTCGCATTTCTCCCATTAAGGACCATTAARTATTGTTATTTTCTTATGTTTGTGATATGAATGTCTCCTTAAACATCAATTGTTAGAACCTGTTGTTTTCTGTTTGTACATCTGGCACTACACCAGCGTCTCTGGGCATGATTCATCAAAAGCGCTGGCCTATTTAAACGTTTWGAGAACATTTTAGCTTAGTTTTTTATGAAGCATAATACAGTAATGGATCGTCTGGGGATTAATTCAACAACGACTATAAAGCTAGATGGCTTCTGTACTCAGTGTATGGTAAGATTTTAAATTACTTCTTTAAAAAATTGTATTGTAGATAGTCACATCAAGCAACTCTCAAATCTCTCAGTTTTAATTTCTATAAACAATGTATAGTTGTATCCTATGCGTTTTCGTTTTAATTTTAAAGTAAACTTAAACCTATGTCGCATAAAATGACTATTATTAAAAYCTTTACAAATCAACATCCGCTAAAGCTCTATCTACAGCTGCAAATATTCCTTCGGTAGATCAAGTTTTATTTTTTGCTCYTGTATATAACACCTCTTACTCTTTGTAAAATGTGATAAAAAATATAATAGCAAATGTAAGGCGAACATTGCTACGGCGAAGGGCGAACAACGKWATAGCACGAAAARGMAGTTAGTTTTCGTTTTTTTCGCAGTACAGGAAAATAAAATTTTACCACTCGATAYATATAATGTCGATGTAGAAAAGTCTGCGCACAGAATAAGCATAACACAAAATGAAACAGAAAAAAAAGACAACTAAAAAAGCTGGAAAACACGAAAAAACACCAACAAATTGAAATGAGAATAGTGAAAGAAAAACGGAWTAGGAAGAAAACAGTTTGAAGCTTAGAGAAACGATATAAGTATAAATAAGTACAAACGCGGCATTTATTTAAATTTCAATGTTGTATATCCTTTCCGTGACAAAAAATGTCTCGTCATATTAATTACAAACATGCCGAATATTTCATTGGTAAAAAAAAATAAATAAGTAAAATAAAATAAATAAAAATTCATCTTATTTAAAATGAGGATGATATGACATTGACAATGGTAATATCATAAAGGATTGGGATATCATTGGGATTCAAAAAACTGATTTTAAAATAGCATTGTACTAATTACATTAAGTATTTAGTAGCCTCAAAGTATAAATAGCATAAAACATTGTTTCTTATGCCAAAAAAACTTAATTCCATTTGTGAAAACTACAGCCTGTAAAATAAAATCACTACAGCTAGAGGRAGCMTTGTGCAAAACTTCACCGTTATTAATTTACAGTTTTGCTTGACAAGGACATGGTCGCGTGCGCGCGCGCCAATTTTGGCGCCAAARCCTCAATCAATCAATATGTATCGGCCTGCGTTTGAAAATATTGTCTTCTTGCACAGATTACTCGTTGTACTTGGTTCAAAATTTACCACTTCAGATTCAATGTGTTAAAATGTGAAATTGAAAGAGTRCATAACTTTATTTCGCTTATTTTTTGTTAATCAGAGTTTTTTCAAGGTCAGCAACCCGAACTTTGTACTTTTATTTGAAGGATGGAAAATTTCGTCAATAACAGGTAAGCCCTTGAAAATCCCAGACTCAATTCAACGCATATTTTTTAATAATGTGAGAGCCAACACGGCCGCCACCTTGATTTCCTTTGCTTTCGTAAAACGTTTTCGCAGGCTGTTTTATTGTACTGAAGTGAATTAGGTAYGAAAGAAAGAAAAATTCCCATTCAATTCACACTACAGCAGCGCGCATATTCCATGATATAGCAGTCGGTAATATTTTCCATTGAAATATATACTATATGGATATATAAACATGGAATGTTTGTTGTTATTTTTAGTTTTAGCAGGCTCGTGCTTTGGGGTATTCCTACTATCGATACTAAGCGAGTTCGTTCGCTTCAAAAGATCCAAACTACAAGTTCGTAAGAACGACCACGCACCCCTCCCTAGTGAGACTACCAATGACGTCAATGAGACTGGAAACCAGTCTCCAGACGAACTGAGCCATAGTTCTGTTACTTTACATCGAAACAATGATGTTTATAAACACCAGCAAGCTTACAGGTAAACGCTGTGTACAGCAATTTCAATCAACGTTGGTTACTCAATACTGTAAAATGTAATAATTTGCTTTCATATATAATTATATGATAAACAGAATATTAATTTTGATCTTCTCGCGTTGAGAGCTTTTCAAAACTCGAAGATAAAATCCGTATCTCCGCGCGCCCATGTAATATCCTCTCTCTATATAATATTTATATTATTTGAACTGATTCTTGCAGCCCTTTCAGCACGCACCACGCCATTCAAGTAATTCTTCACGTCACGCAGTTAATCTTGGGATACGTGTTAATGCTCATCGTCATGACCTTCAATGTATGGCTCGGGATATCTGTGGTACTCGGTTTAGGGACTGGGTATTTTTTATGTCATAATGATTATCTAGTAATTCCATCGGGAACGCAATCAAATAGTTCTATTGAACTTAATATTGTTAAATAGCAATTAGCCAGCCTTATTCGTAAATGGCTATACGGCTTTTTTADAGAGGTTTGATTTCTCGCTATGTTGTAAGCAAAAACGCATTGAACTATGGGAATAATTTGTCTCGAAGAGATACTGCATATTAACGATTTTACAACAAAACGCAAATTCACATTAATGCATTTTGATATCATATTTTAAAAATATTGACTTGGAAATCAGATAGCAGCTTATTCAGTTTTCTAATATGCATTTTTTWAAAATCTCGACGTTTTAAGGCAAAACTAAGTAGTACATTGATAAGATTTATTGGCCTCCTTTGAGGAGCAGATACATTTGTGTGAGTTCAGACTGGGTCTTGGACGAACACAGAAACAAAGCAACATTAACAACAACACCACCAACAACAAAACAAGGCAGTCACACAAAATAGTTGCCAGCAAGTCACTTCGAAACGAAAACATATAAACAGAGAAAATATCTCAACCATCAGTTTACGTTTTTTAGTTTACAATAAGCTTTTGTAAATTTAATTTTTACTGGGTAATTAATATTCAACATTATATTTTAGTTTTTGAAATTTAGGTATTATAAGCAATTCAAAGAGGGTTATCACATTATTTTTCTTAATTGAGAAGGGTTATAAATTTCGGAATAAATAAATTGTTCTACATACTTCTGTTTATTGTTACATTTAGTGATTTTTATCAAGGGTTCGCTCTTATTAGTACTTTTCCTCATAACTTTATGGTGATAGCTGCTCAAAGAAAAGAATYATCATGACACCAAAAATTACCACAAAGTAGACGCGAATATAAGGCAGAAGGTCCCAGGAGGGGTTGTATGCCTCTTGCGCTCCCCTGAGAACGGAAAGGGTGCGCCTTTTTGAAAACATTAGTCAAGTTTGAAAATGATCTATATTTTTTTGGAAGCTATAATACAAGAAATTGTGCGGTTTGCTATAGTGCAGTGGTGTACTACGAGGACCGTGTGGGGGTTAAACGGTCCTTTCAATGACGTCATGCTGTATTTGGCGAGGTGCACTTTGGGATTGACTAGAGTATAAAACAAAGCCAAGTTGTTGTGTTTCGCGGTGTTTTGCGAAACAGAGCATTATTTCTCTGACGTTGGCTCTATTTAGTCTCCATTTTAACGCATGGTGAACCAAACCAGTGCAATTCTATATGTTAAACTGCTAAACTAAAGTCCCTTTCGACTCATGCAAACTCCGTGCGACCATCGCCGTTCTTCCAGACTTTTTTTTTTTGAAAAAGGTGCAACCATGATGCACTTCGTCGAAAGAAACATGACGTCATTGGTGGAWTTTGCATATGACGTACGTGGATCTGGAGAACCTTTACACCTGATTTACCAGGTAAATTCCTCTTCAAGAGATGATACTTTCACAAGGTCCTTGTTAAGACTAAAAAATAAAATCATGTTCGTTGATTAGACAGGGGTATTACAAGTAAAGAATCAAGGGAACACCAACAGCCATTTCCTGGAATTGTTGGCCAACATTTGCGCACTTTTTAGTGTCCGAACAATCATGTAATCATTCAATCTTTACGTCTGCTTAGTTTGTCCTACTCCTTCTTCAGAGCATAGTTAATAGAGGGAGACTATTATGTATAGAGAGAGACAAAAAGCATCCCCTTCCCACCCAAAGAAGGACAAAAAGACTTCAAAGTTAGCGTTATGGCGGCGAATRTGAACAATAAAACTRGCGKCAAATTTTATRATTCTTTACCTTTGAAGKCCATCTTTAATTTCGTCCACTTTGGAAGGGTTGCAGCATACAGCACATCGTGACGTCAATGGGTCGAATAATGAAGCGATGTATTTTTGTCCAATGCGGTCCAAATCGTCCATCGTTACCTTGGAAACTCTATCTAGTAAATCCCTAAGATAATAAAACTATGGTTACACTACTTCATTCGATATAAAATCAACATTATTTCTAGACACTTTGGGGACAAGTATGCTTCAAAAATGAAGAGAAAATTGGCTGGGGTTATAGGTATAAAATACATATTTTGCCACCGAGCACGACCTAGCTATCCTGTATCTAATCACTTATGAGATTCCTGTGTTAAATCAAAGATACACACCTGTTATATCCAGGCTGGACTTGTCTAAACGGTGCTAGCTTGCTCTAGGAAATGCAAAAGACAAGTTAAGAAACAATTCACAAAAGACAGGCAGACAGTTCATAAACGGACAAGAAGAAGAAAATGCAAACCTGATAAGCAGCAGAGGAAACACTTTTTTCTCTGTAAATTATRCCAAAAATAACACTGCTCTTTGCAGCTTCTAGTTCGCTGGGCTCAAATAACGTCTGTCCTGACAAGTACCCATCCTAATCAAAATATAAAATTACAATAATGAGCGGATTGCTTGTTAGTTTTTGTTTTGTTTTATTGCTTTCGTTCTTTCTGTCTTTGCTTATTTAACATGAGTTGGATGTTGTTTTTAGTAATGTTTATCAAGTTTATTCATGCGCGCATTCTGATTGGCTGAAGCAGTGCTCTTCTTGTCCTCAAAACACGCACGCGTGTCAACTTTGAATATTCCCGCCTTTTTTTGCTTTTATAGACTTTTTCCAATTTTATCGTTTTTATTTATAATAGCTAGAGATAACTTGGTGTTTACCACAATTTCCTTGGTTTTCTCATAGGCTTTCACAACATGRGTTGARCGAGCAAGAATAAACAGCAAATACCCCTTCCCAGGATCGACTCTCATGCTAAAAAATAACAATATTAGTATTATTGAGATAATATGAACTTTAATCCATTTAATGATTATCATAAGAATTTAATTGGATACCTGTAGCTGTAGCTCAATCCAAGCCCTCTGACCTGACGCCAGATAGGACCCTTTTAAACAGAGTAAAAATTAGCATGGATGTCAATGCACAAAAGAGCAGAGCAGAGCAGAGCAGAGCAGAGCAGAGCAGAGCAGAGCAGAGCAGAGCAGAGCAGAGCAGAGCAGAGCAGAGCAGAGCAGAGCAGAGCAGAGCAGAGCAGAGCAAATTTACCTCAAGTGTGACCAGACAYTCTAAGTACACCATGATGGCAGCCAGGTCAGGGTGGTCGTAACTATCAATACATGGRGTGGCCTGGAACAGGTATGAAGACTCRACTGAACCAACGCCTACAATCTTACCATGGAACAGTGGTTTGGTCAAAAAGGTATTTGGTAGAGGAACGACAGGAAGACTGAGAAAGAAATATAGCATTATATGATTGGATATATGTATACTGGCAACAATAATAATTTTCATAATAAAAGTTTAGGTATAACTGTAATTTAACTGGTACCTTGTTGGTAATGTCTCTGACTGTCCGTCCATGAACAAATTGTTCCAAATTTTTTCAGCATTGCTAGGCAACTTACTGACATCRGCAGCTACATGAATTCGTATGTTGGAGAGCTTGGTCAAGACATTTCTTAAAGACTCTATTTTATCAATGACCTGTGAGGTTATCAAATAACTATTAGCCACTTGGGTTTCCTGTGGTAAATTTGTGTGTTGTGGGATTACTGTTGCTGAATAAAACATTTTCAAGATGGGAGGTGAGGGTAAGTAAGAGTTTGTACTTACWGGCTGAGGGTCAGTTTGCAAGTCTTGTACTAGTTTAGTAAGGAGAATATGCTGTCTGATCATGTTAGTTGTATATGCATTACTGCCTGMAAAGAAAAACAATAGTTTTTAACAAAGTATTATATTATCTGCAGACCATGTACTAATAGACCTAATAAGCTAACACGTTGCCATGTACATTATAGCCACCCAATTCAAATCCTGTGGGAAAAAGAACTTTCGTTTTTAAGAATTCAACAATGAAATGAAAATACATTCTAAAATATTTAGGATACTACGCGCGCTGTGATTGGTCGAAAACCATGTTTGATTACAGTATCAAAACACGCTCGCGCACGTCAAAAATTTCTTTTAATTTTAGAAAAGAAATAAAAGACGAAATTCCGTGTTTGATACTCTGATCAAAACACTTGGGATGTAGGGAGAGCACTCGAAAAGCTGGAAACCACTCCGCTACGCGTCGTGGTTTCCTACGCTTCTCTCGTGCTCTCCCTACATCCCGCGTGTTTTGATCAGAGTATCAAACACGGAATTTCGTCTTTTATTCCTTAAATCATGAACAATGAAACTTGTTCCCAGGTGGTTTGAATTGAGTGGAAACGTTTATAACAACGCGCTAGCCGATTAGATCCTATTCATTCATAGATTTACAAATAGCACATTTTCAAGCAGTTTTAGGTTCATTTGGGATTACTGTGCCCTCCATATCAAAGCCTATRTAAGAATGATAGCAACAATTGATACATACTTTTAGAGAAGAGTATGTCCCTTAGCAGGCTTTTGGTGACAACCATGCCTTCTCTCTTCATGCTAATGTACATCAAAAGAAGGGARATGTCAGACAATAGTAATTTAAAAGATGGCAATTATATTTTTGAGTCTTTGACAGTCAAGYAGCAGCCACTTGCACAAAAGAAACATGATACGTCTTTCAAAATCTTGTTCCAATGAGGCCATAATTATGACACTCAGATATAGGCTTGTCAGTTTTCTTGTCAAATTGATTATATTCTGATATTTTCATTTTATTTTTATTTCAATTATAAATTAGGAAATGCACTGAACCTTGCAACATCATTGATCATCTTCTTTGCAACAATGTCAAGTCTTTCTTTGGTGATAATGGTTTTGTACAAGACTTCATACAGCCATTTTACTCCTCTTTCATACTTCTCTGATTCAATCTACACACAAGAAGAAAGACAAGTTGAAKATTTTCCGTAATTTGTAGCTRAAACAYCCTTCATTCAAGAACACACCTTAAAGACAACACAAGCCAATGAGTCAAAGTCGCCRGGCATRAATCTGCSTCCTTTCATGCCAATTGTGGCACTGTAATCAAGTGTRTCAGCTGTTAACTCGGCWACAACTTGCTCATGTGGAATGACAGCTGCAAAGTAAAAGATATAATCATGTTAGTCGAGTGTTTTATGTAACTTTTATCTAAGTATCTTTTATAAAACTTTTAATATATTTCAATTCAAACTTTTTTACTAGGAACAACGACAGGAAAGAAGATTTCATAAAGAGTGTGTAAACACTGTCGTACCATTCTGTCTGATGATATTTTGTCAACCTATGTTATCTGCAGTATAAATACGAGAAAACTTTCTCTGGTGTCATGATTGTTATCCATGCTGCAAAATCCATTCTATTTCTTTTGTTATCTATTTATACTACAGAGTAGGTGTGTGTCCTACTTGCACTAAAACATGTTGTGTGACAATCACACATAGCTTACCCCCATTGCGTGACAAAGGTGATTCAAATATGATTTCTAGAAACAAGCTAAGGTACGGTTGAAGTTCACTTGGGATCACATTTGTATCCAACATGGCTGTAATCTAAAAAACAAACTCTGGTGAGGAATTTGCTGCTGACAAGACAGAGTGGATTAACTAAAGCCCCAAAACATATCTTACTAATTAAGGACTAATAAATAGTGTTGCTTAAACAACAGAAAAAAGCTATTACAAAATTATCTTAGAGGAAAGTTAATTACCTCAACAAACATGGATGAAATGTGGTCCATTTGAAAGGCAAAAGGAATCTCCTGCACTCGAAAAGTAGGGCTGTCTTGATCTGCTTTGAGTGATTTGCCATGGCTGCGGTTGCTAATAGTTTTAACAGGGTGAAAGTGAATACTAGATGTTGAAGGAACAGGAAGGCTGCTGATGACCTCTAGCGGTGCTGGAATCTGAATATCAATACAAAACAAAATATGCTCAGTGTGTCAATATGAATCACTTGCCAGACGTTTAAATTTTAAATTGATTTTCCCGTATGAGTTTTAAATGCATTGTGATGTACTACGAAAATTTCATGAAAAAATACCCCATATATACCTCAAGTCATTCAGAAAAAATACTGTTCAGGCTAAAAGGAAAACAGGCGAAATATTTTAAAGAATTCCTTGTATTCAACTCCAAACTGAAAATTACTCATCTCAAAAGAGTGCGAAAGCCAGTTTGATGTTTTGACCTGTCAGTCACGGTTTTGTCAACACGCGCATTTTCAACTGTTTTGAGGATGGATTTAATTTATGCATAAAAAAGTCAGAAACACGCCCTAACTCATTGAAAAACACCTCACAAAATTAGAACTTCTCACTCTAAAACGAAAACAAGCGAAATATTTTGAAAAATTCCTCCACTTCAACTAGAAAAA